AGGAAATTTTAAAACTTGTTATTCTTGCATTGCATTGATTAGGAAGATAGTATATTGTAGGTTAGGTAAGCCTTGCATGCTTTTTTGTTTAATTTTTGTTCAAAGGAATAGTGTCTAGTTTTGGATTCATCCGACCTCGCTACACTTTATTCGTAAGGTACCCTTTACTTCTTAAACTAGGGTCATTTTTCGATATACAACAAAGGAGCAAAACCGACCGCATGATAAATGCCTGTTGTGCTGCATTGTTTTTCATAAAAACACATTATAGCTCTGAAGTAGTGCCTCACTGTAATATATCAATGCGTAGGTATACGCTGAAAACTAAATACCACTGACGTCGTAATGTGTACGGGGGAGACGCGCGAGAAGCGTGTAATACGTGCTGTAGCAGGAACTTCGTCCGAGACCCCCGGCCCTCTCAACATCATGCCCTGACTTATAGTTCGGATCCCCAGTCCAATAATTCATTTTCTGGATTGATCCGAGACTGATTTAATTTCCAATTCTGTTACCTTTTACTTGTCTTCCTTTAGGAGGTAGACTCGCGTAGAGCCTGACATAATGTAATAGAATCATGACTTATTGAAACACTCACTTTGCGCACAATATTGCCGAATGAATACTTCGCGAACCGCCGAACTCAGTCAGCTTCAGTTAATGATTTTAAGATGAGACTAATTTTCATTGGATCCGAATTATAAAAATGCAAGTCAAGACACGATGTTGAGAGGTCCGGGTGTCTCGGACGAAGTTTTTATTACAGTGTATTAGAAAGAGATGCAAGCACATGGTTGCCTAAGAACCCGAGTACGAGGTCACGGATGCCATCGGCGTACTTTTTCTAACATAGATATTGCACGCTTCTCGCGCTTTTCTATCGTGCACATTACAACGTCAGCCAAATTTGAACCTCACCGAATATTATGGTACTATACGGGGCATGCCTTTGGAAATATTTCGGAATTCAACTGATACCTTCCTAGCGAATAATGTAACTAAACTTCTGCCCACTTTGAGTCATCAAGTAATACCATATTTTGATGATTCTATGAAAAAAATAACTGAGAATTAACTAACAAAAGTCTAATTTGATAGTTTAAGAGACTAATCGACAATTGATTAGTGAAGTGGCACTCCTCACTCCCAAAATTGTTATGTATCGGTTACCCTACTAACTTATTCTGTATATATAAACTAGCTCAGTGAATTACATATAACCCTTCATATTTTGTAATAAATACAAAATGTTTTATTTATCCATATTTCGAATAAAGCCGACGTTATTTTATTTTGTAGTATTTGCCTTTACAGGCAATGTACGAGTATTTAGCATCATAGAGAAAAGTATTGCATATAACTTTCCGTATTTGGATCATAATTATTTCAACGTTATGTTTCTTACCTTTTCTAATCATCAGGTAGGTCATAAAGGATCAATAAATGCTAGAAAAATAAAAATGTGGTACGTATCCTTTACGTGGCTACTGGCAACAAAACACTTGTATGCAATGCAGATATATCAAAACCCGCATTTTTTAATAATTTCAGCGTAACTCAAATGACTTATCTCAAGCTTACTTCAAACGAGTTCAAAGTAATTATTGTAATACTGTGGAATCATCAAACGTTAGCATTACCGAAAATCGGAAAATTTATGACAAGGGTCTAGTTGTTTAGCGCCTTTGAATAAATTTACGAAAACATCAAGTAACAAGAAGTGAAATAAATTACGACACTGGGAGTGTTTGATGAATCTACAATCTACAGAATTTAATACAGATAATCTAGGTCATTTTCAGGTTCATGTCACCTATAAAGGTATTTAGGCAACCGGATAAGTTGTCAAGGCCTAATTTTGGAATATTTGTGTGCTGTTGTACAGAATGTCCTAAAAGGAAGTTTATATTTGTTTAGCTGCCTGCGTAAACACAACGAGTCCAATGGGCACGGAGGCTATGCAGAACCCCTGCCGTTTTATGTTTTTAAGTATTTCATTTCCTTTTGTTAATGTAACGGTCTCGTATAGCTGGGACCTTGGGCCGTTACATTAAGATGGTTGTTTCAAACTTGAATACTCCACGTGGTCTTCGCTGGTGAAATAATATACCAAACATACTAATATGTACCATATATGTATACTATAACATTGGAAACATCAGAATCGGGGAGATCACGAACGGCAAAAAAACGTTGAGAGTGTCAAGCAGGCTTTTGTTGGCGATATGAACCTTTTAATAGCAAAACACACATTAGCAAAAGTATAAGATTCATTTAGTATATTTGGAACTAGGTTATTTTTTAAAAATAAATTATTGAATTGTAAAGCTTAATAAGTAAGAAACATAGATGGCTAATATTTTTGTGATTGCCCCTCTCAATATACACTTTCTTTTAGAACACTCTGTATTGGAAGGGCATTTACAGTCCGTCTCGTACTATGCTTGAGTAGCTCAAAATAGTTGTCCAATGTCTGGTCTGTCGCGATAATCTTACCTTAAGGATAGTGAATCAATATACTGTTTTAGAGTTAGATTCCCATCGAGCATTACCTTCCGGCATAGTTAAGATAGTTGTGGTCTGCACTAGTAGGTTGACTTGTACCAGAAGATCATAGTCTCTCTCACATGTTACGTACAAAATACTTTTCAAAAATAAACAAAAAATATGCACAAATAAAAGTACGGCGAGTGGCTATAGAGCAAATAGGAAAGTTTGAGTGGTCCTCGCAAAAACAAATGCACAACCAGCGTACCAACGACATATAAAAGGAAACGGAGTATCTTCCTTCGAATCTAATTCTTTAAAAATGAAACTGAAAGCGGATGAAATTTGTATAGTTCCTTTGCCACACATAGCTTTCGAGAGGGTTGATGTAACTCTATTATTCATCAATAACTGATTATAAGTTCCACTAAAATAGTCTAATCATATTAGACGAAAATACCCCTGGTTTTCGAAATAGTTGTAAAGCCTGATTTCATTGATGCAAGTTGTTCAAGAGGGTATTTAAAACAAAATGGATACACCAATTTATGTGGGAAAACTTTTTATTCGACTACAAAGAATGAGAAAACGTGTTTGTTGGGATTGAATCGAAAGTGTTGGCAGGAACAAAAAACTCTCTGATTAGGTTTTTAGGAAACCTACAGAATAAGTCCACAAGTAAAAAGATCCCACTGATAGTAAAAAAGCTATAGTCGAAGACCGAGGCTAAATGCAGATTTTGACACTTGTTGCTAATGCGACAATAATTTCACGCAGCTACTTGAAATTTTTCAAATCCGAAGGCTTTTTACTTCTAAATAAGCATAACAAAATTGGTGTCGATTGATCCAGTAGTTTTTGAGTATTTCTGACTATTTTTCCCTAAACAGCTGTCTTCCGGCCATCCCTACTAGTTTATTGAGCAATATACAGGGTTATTTCAATAGGCAATTGATGGAAAAATAGACGAGTTTACCTTGCCGACATGAATCACAAGCCATTCCGAAAGATAATTGTTATTTTTATGCGAAAGACGAAGGTTTCCTTTTTTCTCCCAAACAAATTCAAACATATCGTACGTGTAAGTATAGTAACTGAACATATTCACTACGATATTTGAAAAACATACGTTATTATACACATTTTGAAACAAAGCGGATGTATCTATCACCTTTTGTTGCGAAGAAAAAAGTTACCAATACGAAATGTTTGAATTTGTTTAGGAGAACAAAACGTGATTTAAAAATAATTATCTTTCGAAATAGCTTGTGATTCATATCGCCAAGGTAAACTCGTGTATTTTGCTATGAAATGCCCTTTGAACGAGCTCTGCATATTGCTCAATAAATTAGTAGTGGTGGCCGGAAGACAGGAGTTTTGGGATAAACAATTAGAAATTCTCAAAAACTACGTGATCAATGGACTCCAATTTCGTTGTGGTTATTTAGAAATAAGAAGCCGTCGGATTTGAGGGATTTCAAGTACGTAAAACTATCATCGCATTAGCAACAAGTGCAGACAGTGCATTTTGCCTCGGTTTTCAGCCATAACTTTTTCAATATTAGTGGGATCTTTTTATGTGTAGACTCATTCTGTAGATCTCATGAATACCTAAAAATCGTATTTGAGAGTTTTCTCGTTCCTGCCAACACTTTCGATTAAATCCCAAAAAAAAACACGTCTTTTCATTCTTTGTTGTCGGATAAAAGGTTTTCCCACAAAAATCGGTGTACCCATTTTATGCGTTCATGCCTCCAATACCTCCTTGTACAACTTGCATCAATAAAACCGGACTTTACAATCATTTCAAGGAAATTTGCTAATATGATTAGACTAAAAGTGTTTTTTTTTGTAATAAGCAGAATAAAATTATGTAGTGGTGGAAGCAAATCATATAATTTAGGGGAAAGATTCCACAAAATCTGATGAATTCAGTTTCATCTTTAATTCTACCGAAATAAAGGTAAACAAGTTTCCAAAGTAACCCAAACATTTGAGACTTTCATAATTCATAATATTGGCAAACCAAAGGGAAAAGTGGCTCTTTGTTTCGGTATTTTTAATTCAGATTCAGCAAAAGTGCCTGATGTACACTACTGGAGTACTTGCCACCTTACAAGTTTTTCATAGTATTGACACTTGTGCAACATGGTCAAGAAATTTATGTAAAAATGTAAAGCTACAAACGATTTAAGAAAAGACGCAACATGTTCCAGGGCTATCCCGAATCCCATTTCAGACAGTGTGAGGTGCCTTAAACGTCACCTCCGCGTAATGTCAGCACTAATCGTACATATCTATGTCGATGGCACTTGAGGAAAGATACAGTGTGTCGACAACTTAACAATTCCTTAAACTATGAGAGATCTTCTAACAGTTCCGGCGAGTAATGTATCCCTTAATTGCATTCTACAGTGTACATCAGTCAATAATGTTGATCTAGCAGGTATACATATAAATGAAAACAGAACTATGTCTAAGCGTAAAATGATTTGAAATAGTGTACCGCATACCTTGCTATTGGCAAACAGCAGACCTACTCCCTCCATGCAAACTTGAAGTAACCCCCCTTCAGCGGTGGCCATGTCCTGGACGGGGAATTCACCCCCTAGCTCAGGAGCAGCCCCTGCGACGCCACTGCGTTCCATCGCTTCCTTGATGCAGTAGTACAATTGCTTGCACTGCAATTTAGAAATTAAGAAAAATAAAAAATGTAGTTTCCAGAATGGCTTCAACATGTTTGTCGTAAAATCCATTTTCGACCTTTTCTCGTAAAACATTTAGGATTTAAGGAAATGGCCTCATTGAATATTTTTGTTGACGACTCAAAGTAAGCGTAAACTAGTGGAGAGACTCGGCGACCGTAAGTATAAAAGCACTCACCTTCTTAGTGTAGTACTTGTGCAGTTGTGTTTGTTGGCCATTGCGTCTCCATAAGCAAAGTACTCTATTTTTGGGGCTATACGTCATATTAACCAATCTCTCGAACCACCATCTTTCTACTATAACTCCCGTAACAGATCTTAACACCAAACCATCGTCCCGCACCTCCATAAATCTTAGCTCTCCAGTGCAGTCCACACCTTGGTGTACCTGGAATTGGAATTCATTGAAAGAATAGAAAATACGTACAAAGCTGTATAATAATCCTATATTTTAAAAGATATCCCAATATGTACTTCTTGACTTTGTTTTCAAATAAAACTAAAAATTCTTGAAAAAGAGCATGCTTGTTTATATTATCATACTGTATAAGCCTGGGAGGTATAAATAAAACTCTCCTAATGATATAAGGGCTACTTCTACAGATTACCATCGTACGACTGCATTTTTTAGTAACTTTTGGATACAATTACGACTCAATCTTATCAACTACTTGATAAATGTTTTACTATTAAGCGTCTGTGAGTTGTTCATATAGACAATGTCTTTGAGAATATCCACAAAAGAGTTCAAGTGTGAGCCTGTATATGGCAGTTGCAAAGTTTCCGTCGCCTTATATAACAAGCAGCCCTATCTTGATGAAGGAACATGTTCTTAAGGAGCGTATTATCCAGTTGGAGCCCAGAGAAACCCATATTTGAGTAAGCGCACACCAAAAAAAATACTGTTCCACCATAGTAATTTTAACATCTATACAGGGTTTCCCAGCACGGATTTATCGAAAACCGCTAATTAGAGGAAAAAACGCCGAAACACGTCAAAAGATTTGTCAAGGGGGACAAATTTTCAATCAAACATTACTTAACCTTCTTTCACCCTCGGCCTCCCAGGGTCATTCACTTAAAGATATCAAATGACAAGGGGGATCGAGTAATAGCTTGTTTGAAAGGTTTTGATTTAGACGTTTCATTTTTTAAATTAGTCGATTCGCTTTCGAGAAAATTAGAAAAATCTTTATTTATCTTGATTTGTTCAGATAGTAAACAAAAACACAAGAAAATATCACTTTTCATTTCAATAAGTGTTCAAAATGTTGCCCGTTAGGGTTAGGCAAATCTACAATTCTGTTACCATTTAAAACGGAAACTACAAACATAAACAGCAATTGAGAAGATTAGATGTGGCAACAACAACAACAACAACAACAAATGACAACCCGAATTTTTTTCCGCATTCTTTTCAGATATCCTGGGTCAACTGTATTGGTTGCTATACCTGTTTAGTTATTTGTTGCTAAGGGAAAGAAAGAATTTAATTTGCTGTCAGGTACCTTTGTCACAACCTTGGTATGGTGGAAGTTAATTTATTGATTCAGATTTTACTTCCAAAATGGTTTACATACTAGCCGAAAGAGTGGAAATGATTCTTATTTATGGTGCTCAAAATCAATGTGCTCGGCAAACTGCGGTCACGTTTAACGTCAGACATCCGGGGAAGAGAAGTTCGCATAGGTATGTTTTGGACTTTGATACTAAATTTACTCAAACTAGATCTGTTGCAAATAAAAAACACGATCATCGGAGAGTTTCGGATGGAGCCGCTAAACTCGAAGTTTTGGGTCATTTTGGAATAAATCCTAATACTTTCTCAAAATTGTTGCTGCGACTGGTAACTCATTAGGCTCTGTATACTAAACTCCATAAATTTCATCCATTCAAAATGAAAATATTGTTGTTATTGAATTAACCGAAGATGATTTCGATAGGCGAGTTGGGTTTTGTTAACAAATGACTGCAGCGATTAATAATAATACCAGTCATGTCAAGAATACCTGCTACAGTGAAAACCATAAAAAGCATAACTGCAGGCAGGTATTGGAGCAATGTAAATCCTCATGCTTTTGTAGAAGGGTATAACCAGTATGCCCAAAAAATTAATGTATGGGCAGGCATTTTAGGCAACAAAGTGTTTATTATAGTACTCGTATATTTGAATGGAGAAATTTATTTGGATATGTTGGAAAATACCATCAATCCGCTTATCACTGAAACCATTGAAAACCAAATCGAAGAGGCTGGAAACCCTATACTTGATGAGGCTGAAATATATTTCCAGCAAGATGGCGCTCCTCCTCACTATGTGCTTCCGATTCGGCAATGGCTAGACGACGAGTTTCCAGATAAATGGATAGGGCGAAGAGGGCCTTTAGAAAGGCCTGTTAGATCTCCTGATTTTACGCCATTGGACTTTTTTCTATCGGGCCATTTGAAATCTATTGTGTTTACTTCCGAACCTAAACATGTTTTTGAAAATGTCCGTCAGAAATTTGAACAAATTAAGGTAAATAAAGATTTTTTTAATTTTCTTAAAAACGAATCGGCCGATTTATAAAAAATCGAACGTCAAAAAGGACTTCGAAAGACCTTGCAAGCAAGCTTTTACTCGATTCCTCTTGTTATTTAAAATTTTTAAAAGAATGACCCTGAGGGGTTGAGGGTGAAAGGGGGTAAAGTAGTTTTTGGTTAAAAAGTTGTCCCCCTTGACAAATCTTTCGACGTGCCTCGGCGTTTTTTCTTATGAAATGAACTGGAAAGCCGAATATTGCAATAATATACCACTTTAAGTGCCTGGATCATCTCTTTAGTGAGCAGACGAGCAAAAATATCTTCCAATTAAATTGCAACTAGTAGAGTGAATTATTAATTGATATATAGATCGACGTTTTGCACTTACCGTAAAGCTTTGCCTATGAAGTAATCTAGACCCAAGCGGCTTGAGATCTATGTCGTTACCATTCAAATTGTGGATTTGATCCAGGAGTAAGTTGACCTCTTGACTGTAAACAAGACCTATGTGGCTCTTACCAAGCAATCTTCTAATCTTCCTTTTTATTTCATCTTTGGTACAGTTAAGCATAACCAAACTGGCGGTAAGGTTGTACAGTTGAGTGGCTAGAAGTCTGTCTTCTTCATGCTCCAGCCTTTTCCTTTCAGTTTCACTCAAGCTTTTGTATCGTTCCATCATCTCTCTTGGTCCCTGAAAAAATCTACCAATTCAGTGGCAAGACGGGAACGGTGAAAAGATTTTATTGCTAGTCCACTTTCTGTTATTTTTAATAAAAATGTAGAAGATGTCTAAAGTATGCCCTGTTTTCAGAAGCGGTGATACATCTGATATTACGAACTTCAGTCAGGTTATCATTTTGTGTAATTTTGGCAAATTATTCGATATGACTATTTATGAGCATGTGTATAACTTTTTCAAGCCCCATATCTCTGAATTTCAACTTGGGTTTGTTTCTGGGCGACCTACGACGAGGTAATTTAGCTTATTTTACCTAGTTTGTTGCCAAGACTCTGGATCAGCAAGGCCAGATTAATATAATTTATACAGATACACAGGAAGTCTTTGACCTAGTCAATTATTGCTTGTAACTGCATAAAGTATCAATCTTAGGATTTTCTGAAAATCTAGTCTCGCACCTCCAGTCGTATCTTTCGGAGAGAACACTGTGTGTGGAATATGGTGGTTTCAAGTCTAGTAATTACGTAGCTACTTCAGGAGTTCCCCAAGGATCTAACTTGGGACCTTAATTATTCTTAATCTTTATTAATGATTTGTCGCTTGAGATTGAATGTCGTCATTTATTTTTTGATGATGATTTAAAAATTTATAATTATAGCGTAACTTCCAAAAACTGTCTTTTTGTTCAAAATGATTTGGAAGCTATCAATTCATGGTGTTTCCAAAACCTCCTCACACTAAATGTGTCAAAATGTAAAGTGTTGACATATTCTAGGAAACAAAATGTTATGCTTCATGATAAGTATTAATCAGGTAAGGTTAGAAAAGAGTAACAGTTATAAAGACCTAGGTGTTACATTTAATGTCAAGTTCACTTCTAATGATCGCTTAAATTACATTACATCGTCTGCCTAATGAATGTTAGGGTAGTGTTAGAAATTGGTCAGATTTCTCGAATGCTGAAACTAAAAAGTTTCTATGTCTAATACATCAGAAACAAGCTTGAATATGCATCGCTTATCTGGGCACCTATTTATCAAAGCACTATTTGCAGATTGGAATCTGTTCAACGAAGATCAGTAAACTATATTTTTTCCAAATGCAGTGGTTTCTATACACAAAGAGGCTTCAGCCATAATGTATTTTTCGAAACTTTTGATATTAAACCGCTTGATGTACCCCGATATATGTCCGCTATGTCTTTTTTGTTCAGTATACTAATTGTCTATTGGCCATATAATTTAAGTCAGATATGTTTTAATGTTCCTCGCTAGTTAACCGTGATAGTGATACATTTTACTGTAATTTTTGCCACACCTATGTTTTTTCCAAGTGTCCCGTTCAGCGATGTGTACAATATTCAATAGTATCAGAAACTGCGACATATTTAATGACACTAAATCTCGCATCATCAATTTTACCTCGATGAACTTCGAATGTAGGATATTATTGTTGATTATCTACTTATATACCATTACTCTTATCTATGTATCTGTTTACTGTGCTTTATTGATATTTATTGATATTTCCTGAAATAGATATGATTATATTATTATTATTACTATCATCCCCATTTCCTCCTCCAGCAATTTAAAAAAAATATTCGTGTTCTTTTATAGCGTCTCAGTACCTCAGTAACACCATACATCATTTATCATCTTCAAAATCCTTATATACTATAGTTTGTGACCAAAGACCAGGGTATGATCAAAATTAGAAGTAACCTATGCTAATGTTACTGGATAATGAAATCGTAATATGACTAGCGATTTTGGCCAAAGGCCGAAATAGTCTTTCTAACTTGAGATTCCGTAATTAAAGTACAAGTCTTCTTATACACTTAAAGGTGTATTAACGTTTATATTATATATATATATATATAAACTTCACTGGCATTTGTTTAGCTAAACCGCCAGAACGACATTTTTTTTATTTGACAGTATTTGTTATAAAATGTTGTGTTTTTTAAATCACGTTTGCTTCGATTTTTATTCAGCAAGATCGTGTACCTATACTTCTTAGTACACTGTGGCTTTAGACACCACGCAAATATGACCCAGTTCTGTTGTAAGTGGGTCATATTTTCGCATAAGTCTTATTTCCGTCCAAAATATTTGTATTATGATTTTTTTTTCTATTTTTCAGATATGGGGAAGATAAATAGGAGAATCCGTGCCAATTGAACAGAAGAACGATGAGTGAAGCTCTCATGTTACCTGGAGATATCAAAAAACTATGCGAAATGCCTAGAACCACACTTCAAAACCATATTAAATCCGCAAGTTATAAAAGAAAACTAGGTAGAAGGAGTATTTGATCGGAAAAAGAGGATCAAAGACTCGTTAGTAGAATTCTAAGACTGGTTTATATGTATAAGTGTCCCTATAACTCCGAAATCGTTGAGGACTGTTTTTAGATATTGTGTTGATAATGATATTCCTCATAAATTTGATAATGAAAAAGAAATGTCGGGATACGATTGATATAAATCATTCTTAAGAAGGCATTCAACCTGTCCCAGAAAAAATTTCAAAATTTAAACCCATCACGAACCCAAAACTTAAATCCTGTGATTGCTCAAGATCAATTACTTCAGTAAGTTGGAATCAGTTTTAGATGAGCTTGTCATAAAATAGTCTCCAAAGCGAATATTTAATAGTAACGAAAAGGGAGGCAGACTAACCCTACATCATAATCAAGCAGATCTCGCTGAAAAAGGATCACGTAGTGTTCATTTAACTTCCACCAATGATAGTATTTGAAGGTTTAAGGTTAAAAGAAGATTATTATTCGTCGCGGTACCTTAATTGAAATGATCAATAAAGGTAGCATGAACAGAGAAAATTTTGTGCGGTGGTTGCATCATTTTTCTAAATTTGAGCCAGCTGGTCGAGTATTATTGATTATGGATGGAGCCTCCTGCCACCTGGACTTCTCAGTTGTGGATGTTGCTGAAGAACACGAAATATCCCTCTACTGCTTACCATCAAATACAACCCATGAATTGCAGCCAGTAGATAAAGCCGTTTTTCGAGCTTCTGAACTTTATTAAGATGCCGAATTATTGCGTTGTTGAAAAAAAAAATCAGCTGTTTCAAGGACGTCGAAGAACTTTATAATTATGTACGAGTAAAATAAATTAATCTATTAATATATTTCCAGGTGATTCAATGAAAAAGTGTACATAAACAAAGGTCCCAAAATGCCCCTTTAGTTCGATACAGGGTGTTGAAACTGTAATTTTAAAATCGAAAAAAATTAGAGATAATCAAGATAATATAATAGACTCCAAAATGTAGTGCGGGCACCATAGCCAATACGTACAAAAATAAATATGTCATTGAACTGAAGAAGGTCACCTTTGTGATTGAAACGTTTACTACAGTAAAGAACATCTTTTAATTCATGCGGCTTTTATTGGCCAGACAAGCATGGGGCTTTACATATAAAAATATGCGCTCGTGAGACTATACCAGTGGCTTAGAAATTGCAAAATGTTGGCCCTGACAGAGGAAAAAAGAGAATTGTTTTCTATACCACCGACTCTTCTAAAGCATGTATTCCATTTTTGAAGAAGGTATTCAATTTGAAGAAGATTGTCTTGAATATTTTTCGTAAAATCGGTATAAGAATTTTAAACTCGTTCTACTTTAAAAGTAGGCTAAGGTTAGTGAAGTTCAAAATTGCAAGAAGTGTATTAGAAGCTTAATCCTAATTCATCATAGCCTTATTTTAACAATGTCTATGTTTCGTCCTTATTCAATCTCATCATAGCGTAGAAATTTTCTGAATCGCATGCATAAATAATTTATAAGTCAAATGTGTTTACTAAAATTTGCATGCATTTGTGTTATTATTTCAATTGTTATTTTAAATTGTAAATACTTGGCCAAAAACTAACCCCCCAATTGAATTATAGATACTAATTAGGATAATCTTAGGATAGTGCGACTTACGTCTTGGACTTTTCCCATTTTTTCGAAACATCTTCAACTAAATCGATTTTTACCTGATCCATTCCAATCATGTCCCTCTCCTGAGAGACAGCATCGAGAAACGCGTCCTCCCAAAACTGCATCTGGTCCCAAAGGGTCGATCTGTCTTTACCAAGTAATCCTTCAAATAAGTAGGTCCTCACTGCATCAGGGCTGGGAGACTGGGCCGTGTTTATAATATGCCCTCCATGATAACGGAAACCGGTACTCAAGGACGACTTGCTGGACCAAACGCTTGATGTGCGTTGTTTTGGTAATTTTGGAAACTAGAAGAGACAAAATATTACTATAACCCTCGTAGCAAAAGTGTAAAGAGCCTGGTAAAGAGTCAGTCTTATTGAATTTGGAAATTCTAATAGTATCTTAGGAACATAACTTCGACAGTACAGTATTTGATTTTAGTAGATAAACAAAGTTGACTCTAGACCAAAGTTGCAAAATAGTTCAAAACGCACTTATACAATACGAGTCACTCGGTCAGTACATTTTAGTAGAAAAATGTTTGAATTCTTCATAAGAGATATGAGAAATTTCTGTGCAATCTAAGAAAGAAGGGTTTCTGTTATACCGACACCGCACATAAAGGTTTTCCAGAGTTCTCAACAAAATGGGCGAATATATAGGAGATATTTCATTCCACCTTTGGTCGCGCAGGCTAAGCCAATTTTTTATAATCTGTGAGTTCATTGTACTGATCTGTCAAATTGGCATGCGCTTATAGTTGCACAACTTAGCTGAGCTTTTCTGAAAATATTTTTCGTGCATAATTTCATCGCTATTTTGTATGTGCTATTGCAAATAAACATGTGTCCTAATGATGCGCTGTAGACAATCTGCCGTGAATTCAAAAAAATATCCAGGCTCAAGCATAATTTTTAACAGGTTAGTAAGTTGTATATACAGGAATGATTTAGACTTTGTGATTGCTCACTTTGCTACTGATGTATATATAGAGTTTAGAACTTAGGCCAGACCTGTATCAATATGATAGAAATATGTAGTTTTACGCCATTTTGTATAGCCAAAAAATATTCTTATTGAAGGAAACATAAGCTTGACAAAAAATCGAGCAGGGCTTAGAAAAAATATTCTACAAAAACAGCAATCCAAATGATGGTGGAAGACTGCAGAAGAAGTATAGATGAGAAGGAATTTATCGCAACAGTATCTTTTGACTTCGAAAGGGCATTTGAGACTATAGATAGGAAACAATTATTAACGAAAGTACATCACTATGGTTTTAAAGGATCAGTATTGAAGATTTTGCAAAATGATTTATTAAATAGAAACCAGAAACCTAAAGTTGGAAATAGTAGGTCAATCGTTCAAAATATATCAGTAGGGGTGCCACAAAAAAGTAAATTAGGACAGTTACTATTTATTATACAGCATGTTTGTGAAAGGTTAGGAAATCTTGAAACTGGAGATACTACAGTGAATTGGCCTAAACATAACTAAGTCGAAAAGTTGATAGTTTGCGAGATACAGGGTGTCAAAGTTACAATTTTATTTTATATTTTTCCTTATTGCTTGAGAAGTATTTCAGATTTTGGCATAAAACTCGGTATAGGAAGGTTTTCCAGTATGAGAAACAAGAATCCATTATTTTTTATGGCCAAACTTCTACAGGGCGCCACTTACAGAACTATTTCGGTAAATAACTTATCATAACTTTATTGTGCTACCCTGTATACAACAACTGACGAGAAGATCTTATTTTCTTGTATTTCCACAACAAAAATGGTTTACTTGTTAAAAGTGTCTAACATTTTTATAACATGATAATCAAGTTGTTTTGGATAATATCTGAGTAGCATTGCTATGGTTTTTAGCAATAACAAATGTGGATGGCAACAAAACTAATAAACGGAGATGATAACTACAAAAATTGTTTAAAATGAGCACCACCTTGCCTAACACACTCTCGAGCTCGACGAACTAATCCTTGCTGTACTCTCCAAAGCATTTGAATGTTATTTTTCATTTCCTGGCAATGGTGGAAAATTCTTTGTCGAAGATCATCCGCAGTTTCCACTGACTTATTGCAAATGCGTTAAATATTGTCCAATGATTCCCGCCCATAAATTCATTTGAAATTGTACTTGGTGGCGGGTTTGTATTATTGCATGAGGATTTTCGTCTGCATAAATGTGAAGATTATGGGAGTTAATGGGTCCATCCCTTCCAAATCCTGCTTCATCCGAAAATAATATTAACGAAGTAAAGCCATTGTCGTGGTTAAACTACCTTAAGAGCCATGTACAAGAGGGGTCATCATCCGCGCTTAAACCATGTACATTTTGCAGGAAATATGGATAGAGCAGCTCTTGAAAAATGGTATTTACTGTACATTTAGAAACTTGAAATTCTCGAGCCGAATTCCTAACCCCAACTGTAGGATTTTCAAAGACAGCATCTAAAACATTTCCTTCAACTTCAGCTGTACGTACAGTTCTAGGAGCTCCACTATGTCGGGCCATATTTTCTGCAAAAGTACCTAAAATCCAAATGGTTTTTACTACTCAAAATAAGGCTATAATCATATCTTACCAGTTTCTCGTAACCGCTGATCGATTCGTTGGAAGGTATTTAAATTAGGCAGGTATCTATTAGGGGATCTGTCAGCGTACAATCTTCGTGCTTTTAAAGCATTACATCTTGCCAATCCGTACATTAAATGCATATCAGAATATTCATCAAACGTATACTCCATGATGTTTAACAACTAATTGTCAACTTAAAGTATTCATGAAGTTTAAAGCAATATTATGACAAAGATTAGAAACCATAGCAACGCTACTCAGATATTATCCAAAACAACTTGATTATTATGTTATAAAAATGTTTTATCATCATGGTACAACCTTAAAAATCTCTCGAAAACTATTAGCTTTAGACACTTCTAACAAGCATACCTTTTTTGTTATGTGAATAAAAGGAAATAGGATTTTTTGGTCAGTTGTTGCATACAGGGTAGCACAAAAAAGTTATGATAAGTTATTTACCGAAATACTTCTGTAAGTGGCGCCCTGTAGAAGTTTGGCCATAAAAAATAACGGATTCTTGTTTCTCATACTGGAAAATTTTCCTATACCGAGTTTTATGCCAAAATCTGAAATACTTCTCAAGCAATAAGGAAAAATAGAAAATAAAATTGTAACTATGACACCCTGTATCTCGCAATCTAAAAGCTCTAGGACTAAGGTATGTTAAGGTCAATTCACATATTTTAGTCTGTAGTATGTCCAGTTTCGAGCTTTCCCAACCTTTCGCAGTATATAAATCATATCTGTGACAGTTTAGAACACTGCAAAACTCAAATATTAGCATACCATACATTAGTATATACATAAATATAGCACATAAACATTTAAACACTGCTTTAGAACTGTTAAATAATGATATTAAAAAAATATGAATTGGTTAAGTGTTAATAAACTTAAACACTAATAAAACAAAAAAATTATGTCAAAATGGAAACATTTAGGTGACAATACAATTAGGCTCATGATTAATGGTGAAAAAATTGCAGTAGTGGAATCACTCAAATATCTGGGTATATATGTGAATAGTGCACTACTGTTTCAAGAGCATATTTCAAAAATATCTAAAAAGATAGATTACTTCTATCGAGTCTCACATAATCTCAGAATGTATTCCAAAAAAAAATGTGTAATTATTCCACTTTTTTTATTTTTTATTGTTTAACCATCTTGTTTACAGCAAATGAAATCATTTTCAAAATTACAAATTCTACAAAATAAAGCTATGAGAATTATTTTTAATAAAAACAAATATACTAAGATTGAGTAAATGTTAAAAGAACTATAGTGGTTGAATGTAAAAAATTTGATACGCTATTTAGTTCTCATTTTCGTATTCAAATAAAAAAATCGTTTATTACCACCGCATATAGAAAACTTTACAAAACTAATAGTCATTATTTTTAACTACGAAACTAGAGGCAGTATAAATTTTCATCTGCAAAATTCTCATTATAGAATAACTAGCAAATCTGTAATTCAAAAGGGAGTATCTGAATTTGAATGAATCATGAAATTAGAGGCATACCAACCACCATAAGGAGCCAGCGCATCGGAAACTTAAACAGGCCCTTGTGCACCTCTATATTCCTCAGACCTCAAGCCTCGTCATTCTAGCAAAGTTGAGTATGGCCTTGAGTCGAAGCTCCTTCACGTTTTGGGGGTCCAGAGTGATGGACCCCAGTATAGTCTGCATGTAGTAGTTCAGAGCCTCACAGCGACACAGAACGTACGCCGAGGTCTCTTCCTCTACCCCGCAGCGCTCTCACAAGGTATCCTCAGCCACCCCCATCACGTGCAGGTGATGCCTTAACGTGTTATGGCCAGACAACAATCCCATCCCTTATATTAGCTTTATCCAAAGATAAGCAAAAACGTCCGACAATGAGTTCCCGTGCCTGACGGAGATGTCTGGAGATACTTTTTCATTTCTAGCAGTGTTTTCTTGCAATCCACTTCTCCATTTTGCCTCGAACTCTTTGCGCGGGCATCCCTAAGGCTGGCTCAGGACCAACGAGCTTGCTGGCTAATCCTATCTTCGCCAGCGCTTCCGCCCTTTATCCTAACGTGCCCCGGTACCCAGGCTGACGATACCGGATGCCTGGCTTCTAGACAATCCAGAGCCTTACTACATTGAAATACAAGGCTCGAAGTAATCTTTCAGGCACTTAGAGCGTTCAGTGCAACCTGGCTATCGGAGAAGATTGTTTTGCTTCTCCTAGGCTCTCTTCCCTCCAAAATGCAGGATACACAAGCCAGAATCGCAAATATTTCCGCCTGGACAATAGTGGTGTATTTCTCAAAAGGCAGGGATTGCCTAGTTTTACGCCCAAAGACTCCGGCGCCAGAGCCTTTTTCGGTAACCCAGCCGTCCGTGTACCAGACCTGCCCGCTCACTCCGAAGACCTTCCGGCTACCGGAGTCCCACTCCACCCTCGTTAGATACTCCACATTAAACTTGCGGTTGAAGCGATATTCAGGGGTTATCAGATCATCCGTGCTCAGAAGGACAGGATCCTCCATTTGAAGTTCAACTAAGATGGCAGTGTGGCCCTTGGCATGATTCAAGAAGGCCCAGCCGCCTGACTCCACAGTCGATGAGCGACTACTCTCGCTTCACCGTGGATCAATAGAGCTTCCAATTTATTGAGTTGGGCCTTAGCTGTCTCGGTTCCAATGCAAGCCCACCAAACCAGAGAGATGGACTTACTATCGTCGTACTTGAATATGTTAAATTGGATAACGATATTAAACAGTTTTCGAATTTGAAAATATTCAAGGTAAAATTAAAAAAGTACCTTATGAATACGCAAGGTGCATAGTTATGTAATTTTAATAGACAAGAATGTAAAAATAAAGAAAATTGGTTCAAAAAAATGTGTAAACGAACAATTATACAAAACGGACATTGTATCATTTTAGTGCTAAATAAATCTCCAACAAACAAAGAAACTATCTATTTGTTTTCAAGATAAATACAGAAATAACAAAAAGTGTACCTGTAGCGTCTCCACCTCGGTGTCGGATACGGTAGACCTGAAAGACGCCTGATTTCCGCCTCGGTTAAGGACACATGCCGGTCCTGTAGTTATCGATCCCGCTGACGGGGACACTGTACCTCCAGATCCATGCATGGGGCTTTCATTCTGTACACCAACACACAAGATTATGAATTGATCTGAGATGTATCGTAAGGAAATGTTCTAGGCAAATTAATTTGAGTTGATTCTTAGATAAGGCGCTTTCACGTCTTATCGAGAAATTGGTTTTCCAATGAGGTAACTTCTAACGTCAGATATCTCAAAACAATTCAATGGGCTCATTGTATGAATTTCATATTAGTGGTAGCTTCCTACTTTCTCAAAGTTGAGCCAATTGTAATGGGACTTTCGGCCTCATATAATATGTATAAAAAGCTTTGAATGGAGAAGAGTCACAGAGTAGAGCAATTTTGGACGTAATGCATGCAATGATCCCTCTGCATTTATAGCTTAACACTCAACAAACATGCTTGAACGACAACGTATATAAATATGATTTGTTATTAATGTCCATACTTACATCAGAATCAAAGGATGTTAGTTTACTAAACAACATATTCTTTTTCTGAGTCAACATGTCCTTGAACATATCTGCTGTAGATTGTTGGTCTTTTTCTGATTCATCTCCTTGTATCAACCGAACTTCGGGTGGATCTGGATAAAAAATACGAATCATAGAGTTTGTTGTAAATAGGAGAAATGTCATTCAGGTCTTGAAGCTTCTCACAATATATTTCGTAATTTCTTTATCAAAGTAAACCAATCAAGACGGATTATTGTTATTATTATTATTTTCGTTTTAACACATAGCTCTACCTATGGCTATGATATCAATTGGATACATCGAGTGTACACCGTACAACTAGGGTGCATCCAGGCTGAAAAGTGATCATAACACTGTACGTATTATATGTGCGGCACTCAATTCTACTGCTTTCTGCATGCTGATAAGGTTGTGCTTCCCTGGGACGGATGTGATTGCTTAGGTGGTGGCTTTGGAAATTAGCTCTGTTGTTTCAATTATGATAGGTATGATCTTCGTTTTGATATTCCATAGCCTTTGGTGCTCTATCTGAAGATCTTTATATTTCAGACGTTTTTCGGCTTCCTTCTGTGTGATGGTGTAATCTGATGGGATGGCAACATCTATTGATAGGCACAACTTTTGTATCTTATCTTTCAGAATTATACCTACATGTTCCACATTATGTTAATATGTATCGATTACATGGTCCGGTTTATGATGGTACCATTTATAATCTACATCTATATTGTACCCTCTGCAGATATTCCAGTGCAGCTGTGCTGCTACTGTGTTGTGTCGACCTAAATAGACCTTCTTGGCAAGAACTGGACAACCAGAAAGCACATGACACAAAAGTCTTATTGTAAGTCTGCATTTTGGGTCATTGCCGGATTTTATGATTTTAGCCCCCATGTAGTTGGTCGCGATTGCTTGTTCGTGACAGGCAGTAACGAGCGCTTCTGTCTCATTTTTTTTAAATTAACGTGCATAAGCCACTTCCAAGCTAAGCTGCTGTCGACGGTATGGCGTTCTCCTTGAAAAATGCCGCTCCTGATGTCGATGTACTATTATTGGGGTTATATCGTTCGTCAAATCGAGATCTGTCTTCCAAATTTCCCTGGATCTGCTCAGAAACGATATGAGTACATCCGATGTTCGGTATATGTTAAGGGTTTCTATTAACCAACTTTATGGCGTACTATCCAAAGCCTTTTTGAAATCAATCCATGCTAGAGACATGCTTTTACGGTGTTTTCTACAGTCCTGTTGTGGCATCTTGCTTGTTAGCCATATGTATTTTTCGAGCATCCTTGTTGTTCTTGCGGGAATAAATTGTTTTCCGTTAAGTGATTGTAAAACCTTTCCGATAATATTTTTGTTAGGACTTTGTATATATTCTTGAGACATGAGATAGGTCTGTAGTTTTTTTGGTTGATCTGTATTTTTGATCTTGGGTATCAGGTGTGTCTTTCCTTTTGTAAGCCAACGAGGAATATGCTGTTCATTTCGTAATATTCTGTTGTTGGCCGTCACTAGGTATTGGTGACTTGAACCCAGCCGTTTCAACCAAAAATTTGGTATTCCATCGATGCCAGGAGCTTTCCAGGTAGCGAAGTTACCCATCGATGAACTTCTTTCATGTATCGTGATATCCCTCCACTTCATTCTATTTATTTGAGATGTTCTGCTATACTCTTGTTGTATCCAATTAGCTTGTTTGTTGTGTGTCACATCCTTTCCCCAGACGTTTCTCCAGTACGTTTCTATTTCCTTTGGGTCAGGTGTATTCAAAACTTGCACTTTTCCGTCTACCACGCTGTTGTAGAACTTCTTCGTGTGTTCTGAAAATTGTTTATTGTGCTGCTACTGGTTACTTCGTTCGGTATATCTTTGCGCACTATAGATATTTGCAGCTACGAGTATCAGTTGCCTCAGCTTTTCAATTGCTTTAGTAAAATCTGCTTGATTTTTTATTTTATACTTTATAAATAGTTGGTTCTTTTTTTGTTTTCAGTTTCCACTCAGTTCAGGCTGTAGATACTCTTTCAGCAGCGACAGATATTTTCTGAGTTTCCCGATCCTCGTTTACATTCTTTTTTTCCATGGCTGCTCTCCTTTTAATGCTCCGCGAATATTTTGGTTGCTATAGGGATTGATTATATCTTGTATAGTTATATCATTATATTGTTCTGGGTATTTTCTTGTAATTTATCTCAAAGTATCATCCCCCAACATTTATCGCTTTAGCTTTCAAATTTTCGTTTATTTTTTTCAATGGTACTCATCATCTGTCGTCTTTAGCCATTCTTTCATAGACTTACTCGATAAGTTCGCTCAAAGCATTGCCGCTTACTTCGAGAGATGTTGACATTTTATCTATGATGTTTGTGCCTTCAGCGGACTCCAAGGTAGGCATCAATGTCTGATCTGTAATTTCAAGCTTACGGCTGTCAGTTTCTGTAGCTTTATGTTTTTATGTTTGTTCTTGGATGTGGTTCTGTACTCTTTTCTTTTATTTCGACTAGTTGCTCTGTGGTTAGCTTATTGCTGTTGATGATTAACCTTCTCTGTGTACCCATAGAATTTGGATTAATATTATTATTATTATTATTACTATTATTATTATTATTAGTATGAAGGTACTTGCCCGCCTGTGAAGACTTTCTAGATGCGTCCCAGTCTGATGACTGTAAGGAATACCTTGGGCTTGCTGGTGATCTAGGGCTCGAAGAACCCTGAAAGAAATGAATGAATGACAGTAGTAATAAAGTGTGCAAGTTATACGGGCGATTTTGAATAAAAATGACATATGTACATTATACTCAATTGTCGAGTTGAGAAACTCAAAAATCTCAGCAATTAAATTACTGAAAGGCAAAATGATACAGATTATTTTACAATTTGGTTTTGCTCAATTTAACTATAAACGTCAATAATCGTTGCTATTTATTGATCCATTACTTGAAAATAATAGCACCTCTATTCCACGTCACTTACATGTGTTATTTCAGGCCCATATTCAGCAATATCTTTTGACCAATAATGCGTATGAGCAACTTCACACAATTGAAAGGCGGAAGCCATTCCTCCCAGTCCATAGTTTCCATACGTCATCTCCAAACCATGTACAATAGCTTGCAAAACCTTTTGCATCCCTTTCCACACGGGCTTTGGTACACACTACAGATTAAATGTAATTTAGCTCACTAAGTAATACCAAAAAGGAGTCATGTCCATTTTAAACACTATAATTACTTATCTAATAACGTGTATACTTACTACGTCATCAATGTGATCATCAGGTGCAATTTTTCTATCTAGGGTTTTGTTTAATTTGCTAAGAACAAAGTTTCTATATGACTCATCTTCCATAAGTTTCTTTAATCTATTCAGCTTTAACCAACCCACTCCTTCTCCTTCCAGGACACTTGTCACAACCTAAGAAAATACCCCAGATCATATTAATAGTAATGACAATGATGTCGTCTTTACTGAACAAATTTCAAATCGATGGGCAAGGGTTAGCAGCTCTTACACCTAAACCTAAAAGATTTTGTGGAGGCGAAAAGTATACTGATATTATGAATTATATTTAATATTGTTCTAATGGCTATAAAATAGTTTGATGAATTACTAATAAGGTGAATACAAAACAAATCTATAATACGAGAAAATGGGAATTAACATAGAATTATTACTGTTAACCTGGCAGATATGCCTTGAGCAGTTTTCTGAAATTTATCATTTTCCTTGAGGAAATCAAAGTGACTTTGGAATTACCTCGAGAAATTCTAGGTCACTAGTGCTCGTCAAGCTGTTTTAACCTTTGCCAATTTTGTGTTTCTGGTAGCTACTAGTAATGAAATTGCTCTAATGGACACCCCAAAAACTTACGTCTTTCAGAAAAGCCTGATTTTCACTATTAGTAACATTTTTATCTATAGATTGCTTCCTTTGGATATCATCTTGTCTCCTAGGCACATGTTTTATCAGAGGACTCTTTTCAGCCAGCCCTTTCGGACCTCTGTTAAAAGGCCCGAACATGCTTTTTATTGGTTCTTTCGATTTCTGCTTTGGATCTGGATGCTGATCACCACCTTGCCTGGGCGATTCCTGCAATTATTGAATCAACATTCAGGGTCAGTAAAGTTTACCTTAGATATTGATACTAGGCCACTCATGCAAAATTCTTTTCAGATTTTAACTAAACCGTTTCCCCCTAGATTGTTATTTCTTGATTGGAAGCTTAAACACGTAGGATACACAGAAGTGGCCGTCATGCTTTATTAGCTCAAGCGTGCTCTTTTATCAAAATTGTCCATGACGATGTTGCATAAATGTGTGTCTGTGGAAAAGATCTTTCGATTTATTAAGATTTATGGGGTTATATTCATGAAAGAAGTTGAGCCACATTTCATGAGAAATCTCTGCACATACGTGTTTCCTATTATTTGATTCAAACCGTGCGTGATTCTTGGGATGCCACTTATATAACGCATCCCAAAAAATGGAAACTAGTTTTATAAAAAGCTATAAAAGATATACAAAAACGGTTTTAGCAGATTGATGTCTCAAGGTTATGTACAGGGTAGGGCAGAAGTGATGACCCGGTTTAGAGGGGGTATCAAAGAAAAACTAAATAACTAACAGGCTTTTATTATAATTTGTATGTAATCCCATTTTTTTTTTATTTAGTTTTGAACACAACTTCAGCAAGATGGTGGCCTTCAGCAGCAATACACTGATGTAGTCTATTTCTGAAGTTTGGACCTGCTTTTCTACGCATTTCTGGGAGTATGGTAGATGTTTCCTCAACAGTTCGGGTCTTCAGCTCGTCTAAAGTGTGGGGGTGATGTTTAAAAACTTTCTCTTTCAAACAACCCGTCAGAAAAAAATCGCACATGCTTAAATCTGGTGAGCGCGCTGGCCATCCCAAGTCACCACTCAGACACGAGTCAACCAGGAAACATTTATCTCAATAGAAATCCGAGGTGTGTATGATGTAGCCCCATCTTGTTGGAATCCTTAACTAGTTTTGTCACTGAATTGTTGCAATAGTGTCTCAAAAAAGTTTTTAAGTATTGAAACATAGCGATCCGCTGTGACAGTTACTGTTCGAAAATTCTCCTCAAAAAAATAAGGTCCAATGATCCCAAATTGTGACATTGCACACCACACAGTCTCTTTAGGTGATTGAAGAGGTCTCTCACGAAGTTACCTTGGGTACTGTCAGCCCAGTACCGAAAATTCTGCTTATTGACAGCTCCAGAGAGATGAAAATAGGCCTCGTCGCTACTGAAAAAAGTTGATGTTTCGGGGATTCGGTTAAGCATTTCTTGACAACGATTTACATGGTTGAACAGTTCTTGAAGAGCCATGATTTTATAGGGATGGAATGAGAGTTTTTCATCCAGAATTCTCCTTAAAGAGCGAGCAGGCATATCCAAAGCAATTGCATGCCTCCAAGCAGAGTGCCTTAGTGACAATTCAACTGCTGCCCTCACAGCCATCAGATTTCGGCTGTTGTGACAGATCTGGGTCTGCCAGTTGCCTTAGGTCTTGTAGTAAATTCAATTTCTTCCAATTTACGGGCCCAGCGTCTAATTGTTTTACCGCTAGAGACTGTAACATTACGCTGAATGTTGAAATGTTTGCGAATCTCTGCGTGGCGATGACAGAGCGGCCATTTTCAAAAAACGTACGCACAGCGAAGCCGCGATGCTCACTTGTCCAAACCATGGCATCAACTGAAAACGGGACGATGCAACACCCACAATAACAGCCCTCCCCACTTCCTACTCCCACCACAGAACAAGCAATTAGCTTGACGAACAGGTTCATGACTCATGTCCCACTTTGTATTTCCAAATCATTTGGAAATAAACATATAACCAATAGTGGTGCCACGGTACTTAGGCTTCTGTGTATGCGGCTTCTTCGGTATAGAAGAAAAGGGTGTTGCACAATTCTAGGGCACGCTAAACATTTTTTTTTTCAATGTAATATCCTATATTTTATTACATTTTATCAATTCACTCTAAAAATACCTATATTAGATGGCTTTGAACTCTGCCAGTTTACGTAGTTTTTCATTATATTTTGGAGAAAGGATGGAAACGGAACTACGGAAAGCGTCGGTATGATCTGTTTATACAGGGTGCAAAACGCAAAGACTTGTTTTTTCAAAAGTTTTAAGTAGAACACCATGTATATTTTTACTCTATCAGATTCCCGGTTTCATAAGCTTTCTTCTAATATCGGGTTCACACTAGTTTATGTTGATGTCTAAGGTGTACACGAAAAATTTACCCATAGAACCATGAACTACTTTCATTCTTGGTCTCTCTTAACTAGAAGGCAGTCGCTCCCTCTGGGACGTCGAAATTCTGTCTAATTAAATTGACCAAATGAAATAATTAATCATACCTGGAAACCAAATTAGCAGTAGTTAGAGTAAAAATAATTATATAAGAATTCTGATGGAATCTTCATTCACATAATATATATATATATATATATATATATATATATATATATCAACGACTCAACAAAGGTGAAAAAATAGGATTTGCATATGACACCACAATCATCCTTAAAGCCAGAACTTGGACAAAATTTAAAGAAATTGAAAAGTATTTTGTACAGATAACTGGTTTGAGAATCAGTTATTAACTGTAAATTATAAAAAACCTAATTAATTGCCTTCACCTCTTACATAAATAAATTACCGCTATATAATAAGCTGAATATAAAGAAAACAAGTCTCCAAAATGAATATATATATATATATATATATATCACGTAATCTAAATCATAAATATCTCGGAATTATTTTAGACTGTCATCTTCGTTGGGATGGACATATCCAATCCATTAAACAGAAACTTAGATTTCTCTTATATAAATTCAGATACTACAGACAAATTTCGATGAAAAAACCTTAGTTGAATGCCACATAACCTATGCAATTATTATCTGGAAATCAACAAACAATTCATAATAAATCTTTACTATATCCCTCCAAATCACTGTTTATAGAATAAAAATGTTTGGTTAAAAAACATTGTTTTGATATAATGTTATACTAGAATACCAAAAAAAAAAATTCGACCATTTATAAAAATTATGAATATGATACCAGAAATAAAAATAAAAAAATAATTTATGCAAGACCAAAAAAAGAAATAATGTTGAAGTCTTCTATATATATAGTTCAAAATTATATCATAACTTACCAAAGTATGTTAGAAAAAACTGAATATCATTATTAAAAATAGATGTAAACGAGTGGCATTTGAAAGCTAATATAAACTCGATGTAATTTATAAAAAACTAACGCATATCTTTTCTTCATTGTTAGTCTTATCCAAAATTAATATACATATTACACTTATATTACATATATAGATTTTTTTTAGTCCTATCAGTTTATTATAACTATATTTTCCTTTTGTGGCATATGCATTTGTTCACAATGTGTAATTTATGACTAAATTATTGTTATTATTATTATTATCCCTGAAATGAATTATTCGATTGTGCTATTAATTGAAAAGCCATCCAATATTGCCGCATTTCCAAGGTCCCAAAATAGTAAGAAATATTTATGGTTTTTCCTACAATCTACATAACGTTACGGTTAAAATTAATATGGAACATTGTTGTCCGAGTAGAAGCCACTACAGATAAAGTAAAACTGTGTAATGATGTTGATAGGAGATTTTTATGGAATCTAGTCGCCCTGATGTAGACACAGAACTGTGAGAAGAATTTATTGTTCCCATTGATGATAGGACGTGGTGACTAAATAGATAATATTATAAGATTTTCTAGAATTCGTAGATATAACCAGATAACTCTTTAAATAAACTATTATGAACCTGATATCAAAAAAGCTTATAGAAAGGCGAACCTGATGGTGTAAAAATATGCAGGGTGTTCCATTTAAAACTGTTGATAAAAAATACATTTTGCGTTTTATAAACGGGTCATATTATGCAAATTTTTCGTATTTGAGCTGGCTACTTTTTCATTCTTTAGATTCAATAAAAAGCTACGAAAAATAGTGAAGATCAAAGCTTACGAAGAGAGGCAGATTTTCAAGCAAATGATAAAATAACTAAACAAACGACAATCAAAACCCTATAACCTATTAAGTCAATATTCTTATTTTGGGCACTTCTTTCCAAATATCTAATAAAATATAGTGTTCCATTCGAAGAAGCATGTACATGGCTATGAAAACCGTAATAGAATATCTCTTATAGTTTTTTTCTATAAGACTACTTACCAATATTTTAAATAAAAGCCTGTTTACCTTTTTGGATCCAAACAAATCAGAGAACATGTTGGATGTGCTTGTTGCTAATCCATTGATATCTGAGCTGATATTGGAGAAAAAATCTCTACTAGCACCAGTCAATACATGTGACTGAGGAACGAGCGAGGTTGAGCTACCACCAGGGTCCTGTTGCTTGGAGAAGGAGTCCGCCTTTAAGAGACCCTTTTTCGTTACAACTTCTTTGGCACTTTTTGTTAGGTCTCCAAAAGTGGACTTTCCTACATAAGTCAAGTCATCCAGAGTTGTCTTGCTCATCGCAGTTGCTGTTTTACTTGCTTCAATGGCACTCTTTCCAGCTACCTGCACGCTTTTTGTTGCTTCTTCAGCCGCTTTCTTCGCTTGGTTTGTCAACTTAAAACAAACATCACATCTTCAGATACCTTATTTTCCATCGGTCGCTTTTTGTTTATTGACAATTGGTTTCGAAAGGCAAAAACAGGTCGGAACAGCGTTTAGGAAAGACGTACACTATAAAAAAGTGCAACCACAAATGAAAATGGAAATGAAATAGAATCAAGATAGTTAAAAGTATAATGCTCTGATCTGATAGTAATGGTGGGGTGGCGAAACCAAACAATTACGCAACTATTGGCCTTTTTTAATAATCCCAATCAGGTGGTATCCTTTATTGTGCGACGTGCGATGTGCAGGAGAGGAAATATTGCCATCGAGAATCTTTGGTCCGTGAATTGACTAGCTCAGCATTTCTCAACCTGTGAAGCGCGCCTCCCTAGGGGGGCGCGTCAATATTAAAGGGGAGGTGCGAGCATTAGCACTGATATAGTAGGTACACTTCTAAACAGGACTGTATTTAGTTTAGAGTAATTTGAAACGGATTCCTTACCCACTCCTAACTAAGTAATTATTTGTAGTCGGCAAGAAAATATTTTTTTAAATTGTTTGTCAGCTTCACTAAATGATGTTCAATGGTTATGAAAACAACTTTAATGTAATGTTCTTTAACCTTGTAGGTTTTAATACATTCATCCAAATTTGCAAACATTTCCAGGTTCTTTTGCTTTAAATTTCTGCTCCACAATTCCAATTTTCTACAAAGAGCGTTAACTTTATCACTCGAATCCAATATATGTGTATTTGCTCCTTGGAGCTGAAGGTTCAAGACGTTTAGTTTCTCGAATATGTCAACCAAGTAGCTCGATTTCATCAGAAATAAACCATCTCGAAGCATCCCGGCTTCCGGTCGATTTTCTTCTTCTAGAAAAACGGCGATTTCATATCTTAATTCAAAAACACGTTGTAAACATTTCTCGCGTAATAACCATCTTGAGTCGTAATATAATAGTAATGCTGAATGTACTTCACCCATATCTTTACAAAGTGTAGAAAGGATTCTAGTTTTCAAAGGTCTCATTTTTATGTAATTAACTAGTGTTACAACCGTAGTTAGCACAATATTCAAGCCAGGAGACATTTCTTTGGAAATGGAAATATATATATACAGGGTGCGGCAGAGAGGATGGACGGTTTTAAAAAAATCATAAAATAGTTAATTTTTACTCGAAAACAAATTCATTGATGGAATCAGATTCACAAGGAAATAGCATTTGAGACAGTCAAGTGTGGAAAATCACATCAGGCATGTGGTGGCCGAAATCGTTGATACAGTGCTGGAGGCGTTCTTGGAAGTTCGCGTAGACTCTCTCCAATATCGCTCTCTCAACTTGGGAGACTTCCACGCGAATTTCGCCCTTCAATTTGTCCAGAGTTCGGAGCTTGTGGCTTGTGAAAGTGGGCTTCGTCACTCATAAACAAAATGAGGTTCTCATTTTGATCGATCAGTGCTTCCATCTCACGTGTGAAGTTCATTCGTTGTGCATAATCTCCGGGCTGTAACTGTTGCACAATGGACAATTTGTAGGGGTGGAAGCTGGAAGCGGAGATCCATATGCAACATTCGCCTTACCGAACGATCACTAAGGCGAAGTGCAGCAGCATATTTCCTGGCAGATCGAGTCGGACTGCGAAGAAAGACCTGTCGAACGCGTTCAACATTTTCAGGAGTTCGAACTGTTCGCGGCGCTCCTCTTGGTCTTCTGTTAGTTATTCAACCCAACGAAGGATGGTGTTTCGAGAGGGAACAGCTCTATTCCGATGAATGTTGAAGTGGCAATGAAACTCATGCTGTTCGACGATGACTGACTCATTATTTCGGGCGAAACAATCATAGGCGAAAATGCGGTGCTTCACCGTCCAATGCAACATAACGACAACTGGTAAGATAATGCTAGGATCTCACGAGTCAAACGTCACCCTCCCCACCTCTCTCGTAGACGGAGGCGGAGAGTACTACCTATCCCAAAAACGTCCGTCCTCTCTGCGGCACCCTATATATATATATATATATTAATACTTTAAACTAACACGCAAATTACAATAGATTTAGCACAGACAGAGCGACTGACTCGGCTGAGACTGACCAGAATTGACGAGTGTATACACCTTCGCGCAGACGGTCGAGAATGTTCGAAATAACTTGGAACTTCTCGCGAAGAGAGGCATTGATTCCGGATTTGCCAATGTAGCAGATCGACGATGCCCAAATATCTATAAATTTGCTTATTCTCGGTAAGTTGTAGGCTTTGTAATTAAGGTTGCACTGTAAGTTTAGCGTCAATGTACTCAAGGTACATTATTATTGGATACACACATTGTTATTGTGTGAGAAGGGGGGCCGGGTGAAAGTAGTTATTGAAAATTGGGTCGCGAATGGTGAAAAGTTGAGAAACGCTGCACTAACTAACATCAGTGTAAGTGATGAACCTATTCAGTGAATGGACATGGACGAAATATACATATGACCAAATGGTTCTACGGTACAGTTTTGATTATTGGTAAGGAACTACATGCCACTAATCAATGATTGTTATCGATATTAGCCTACTATCTACTGGGCTTCCAAACTACTCGTGGTACCTCCTCTTAAATTATATGTTTTCAATAGCTTCAAACTCTATAAGGCTTGTGATTTAGATTGTGGCGTACTATTTTGATTTAAAACAAACCTTATCAAATGGCGCGAAAATATGACTGTCTTCGGCCTCAGTGAGTTTTTCCTTCGCTTGAAACTTAAGCTGAAAATAATAATTAAATATATCTTTGTTTGCTTTATTTATTGTATACAAATATGCAGATAGCACATAGCTCTCTATGTTGGTTTTGAATCCAATGTTCGTCTAATTGAAACGTAAAATATGTGTTGTCATGCTACTGACAAAGAATTGTGTAATGTTTGTAGAGATTGCCTTATATTCCCGATAATATCACCCTTAGCAATAGCTATTAGACTTATTCAGTCAAAGCGCCGTCACTCTTACAATTATACTCTATTTTTGACAGTCCTCCTTATTTTCTACTTTTCTTTTAATATATCAGATGAGTACCTTATCCATCTGTGCCAAAATTCCATCTTGACTGCTTTGCCTTGTAGTCTCCCGTACCAACTCCTTAGCTTGAGATGTAAACTGCTCAAAAATGGATCCTTGCGAGCCCTGCCTTGTGAAGGTACCACTACCTCCAGATGAAGGAGGACCTGACGAAGGTGGTCCAGGACTACCTGAAGAGCTGAAACTCGAGGTTCTGGCTAGCACATTTCCAACGCTTGGCTGTCTTTGTAGTGAGGGAGTTATTGGGGGAACCTAGAATGAGAATTAAGTCAGGGAGACAAATTTCTGGCGAATTAAAATATTTTTGGCAGGCATAGACACGCAAATCGTACGTTTTGGTTGTACAATCTTGAACCGTCAAGTAAGTCCTAGTACCAAATCGTCTGCATGAGTAAAATCAAGCGGAGGTTGCTTGCGGACAAGAAACGGTATTCGTAGCAAGATCTTATAGATGCATATTTGAAATTATTCAGAAGCGTATGGAAGGTTGTAAAACCCCGTAGCAAAACAAACATACGTGTACTCAGACTTTTCCAGAAAATGATTTATATTGGCATTCCATAGGGTATGATCATCATTTGTTAAGTTGTTCCATCATTTATCTACGAGCCCAAACAATTATATATTCAGACACCAATACATTTTGTACAAATGGATCCATAATTTAACTGCTGCCTTCTCAAAATTTATGGCAAAAATGTATAATGGTAGATAAGTATAATAAACATCTATTTTCAATAGCGGCACCTCTGTTTTCAAATATATTACTTTATCACTGAAATATCTCGAAATATGATATATAAATGTTCGGATAGGTCAAGAAACATATCATTAGAGATAAGCAGGGTGAACTTGTTGTCCCTAAATCTACAGTTTCGAACATTATAATAAAAGTATAGGGAAACTGCAAGTACTGATGTCCGCGCTAAAAATCCAGGTCGATCGAGGATTGTAAATGAAGGGAATCTGCAAACCGGGTAGTCGAAATAGTTTAAGGGAAATAACCACTCAGTGGAACACAAAGTGTGGGATGCAGCTTTCACGAGAATGCTGTCGAAAATCCGCTTCTAACTGAAGTCCAAAAACAAAGACGCCTAATTTGAGCAAAATGGTATTATGTATGTCTGCAACTAGAATGGGACGTTTTCATTTTATAGATGGCACACGAATGCAGCTAAATAACAAGAAATCCCTCAGAATACATTATTTCACCTACCATATGAGACTTGTATCCTGACGGCGCATCATGCTACATTGCTAAAAGCACAAAAAAATCATGACGTACATGACTTCTCTTGTACTGCTAGCAGAGTGATAGAGACGGTCTGATATAAAATGAAACAACGTTTGAGAAACCATCCTCAGAGAACAACTCCTGAACTGTGTGTGAAATCGCAAGAAATTTGGAATACATTTTACACAGGAAAACTGACACGTTTTTTAGTTAAGACCATGCCGACAAGAGTTTAGGTGGTAATTAAGGCGAAAAAAAACGTAACAAGTCATTAGTTAAGTTAAATTTTGCAGAGTCCGAATATTTAGTTGCCATATATTTTTGCAAAGCTTTGTCTGTTTTTTTTCATTAAAATTAATTATCAAGGAAAACAGATGATACTATTGAAAATATGCCGCAATTTGTATATACTATCATTAAAAGTTTTCGGTACAAGTTTACAATCTTATTCCCTTATTTTGTAAAACAATTTGGACAAAATGTAAAGGTGTCAGAATATTTAGTTGTTTGGGCTCGTAAGTGTGCCTATTAGATATAAATCTTGCCCCGAATATGAGTCCTTCCATTTCCATTAGGTCATATTGACAGTGGATGTATTTCCAAGTTTGAACTAAAATGAAAAGGATGACGTATCTTACCGGTGTAACAGACCTCCGACCTCGACCTTTCGGAGTAATAGACCTCTCTTCGGTGGGTGACGATTGCTTCACATTATTAGAGCTGACCACAGTCTTTGGCGTCGTAGTAGAGTTCGAATCTGACTCGTTCTCGTAACTTCCTTCATTGTCTGTCTTTGGAATATGGGCTTGTTCGCTCTTCGACTTGTTGCCGAATTCTAGCTCAGAATCCCTGTTGAAGTCAGGTGAGCTCAGATCTGAGTCACTACTGCTAGACGATTGCGGAGAATCTGACCTTATCAGGGGTGCTTCGCCCCCGGGGTACTAAAAATAATCACGAAGCTGTTAATAATAATTTAAAAATCTACTTAAAAGTTTCAGTTGCTTATCTCGACGCGAGCCGTAATTACAGTCGAGACGGAAGTAAAGCTTTTTAAACAGCAGCTCAGGCCTCAGTTATTGATCAGAAATAACCATTAGTTAGCACAGTGTCACACGTTCGAAGTTCTGATTCGGAACAGCCCAGAAACATTAAACTTTTTTGGTAAAAAAAATCGCATCTCACAGCAGTCTTACTGTCTTATTCTGAATGGAGTATTATCTGCCTAGAGAAAACTATACTTTCAATAGCTAAAATAAATTGTATGCGTTTTAGTTCCCACACCACTGTCAAAAACAAGTACCTACAAGCTATAAAATCACTGATGGTGTAATAACACTTATCAACTAAATAGTTCTTTAAACGTTTCTTAAAGCAGGTGATTTCTTGGGGAAGTTTATTATAAATTCTAGGTCCCAACAGATTTGGCGACTTTCTTGCAAAATTATATTTGGCTAAAGGTATGTGTATATAGGCGAATTGTCTTGTACTGGCTCCGTGGATGTGCTTGTTTAATATAAAATTATGTTGGTTCGAGACGGTGTATATGGCCATCTCGAAAATAAATAATGAGGTCAAGGTGAGTATACAGTATTTTTTTAACAATCCCCTACAACTGTGCCTAGAGTCCACACGTACCATACATCTTAAAACTCTTTTTTGACACATAAAGAGATGTTTGGCATATGACGGGCAGCCCCAGAAGCATAGTCCGTATCTCAACCGAGATTCCAGTTGAGCATAATATACTGTTTTTAATTGCGGCTCTGTTGGAACCCAAATTTTGCATAACGAATATTCGTGAATTTAGCTTTGCAACTACAAAGTCACAGTGTGTTCTAAAGCTAATATCGTCATCAAAATGAATTCCTAAGAATTTTATTTGGAGTCCTAATTTTATGTTTGAACTGCCTTATTTTGAGATTCAAGGAATGGAGCTTTTTTGTGCATTGTGGAATCTTATAGCCAGATTTCTATCAGGATTCAACAAACATTTACTCATGAGACTCATATCACAGACGTCAGACAGCAATACAGATGTGTCATCAGATTGGTCCTAAGATGGATCCTTGCGGCACATCTACATTGACAATGGTTGATGATGATTTTACTTGCATAATTGTATTATGCTGTCTGTGTGCCATAGACACACACTGCTTCAGGCATCTGAGAAACAACGCTACTCAGTTATAGGTAGATTCAGACACTCCCAGGTGGAGGAGTTTATCGAGCAAAATGGTGTAATCGACACGACACGATTATGTTACATGACACCTGCATCACGAAGAACCATGTCACTTATGGTTTTTCTGTCTGTCAGTTGGTCTGTCGTCCGCTGATCCTCGAATTCTCTATAAGATGGAAGGTACCTATCAGATTTTGGTGAAATTTGAACACAAGGTTACTGCTACGCTAAGGGAGAAAAAGTATAAAGCTTTTTAAGACCGATTCTGTGGGACTGGAGCGACAGGCAGAAAATTAAAAAAATAAAAATCGACCAAACGTCATCCCTTGATGTTTCAAGGTCGTCCGATTATTCCTAAAAAAATTATGTAGGGGTTTAAGATTGAAGGCTGAAGGATATATATATATATATATATATATATATATATATATATATATATATATATACTATAATGGTAGTACAATTATACGCTTCTAACCCTGATAATTATACGTACCTATTAGTACACATTTCACACATCATAGATTTGCTCATACATTTTTCCTTAAAATATTTTCAACAGACGCTTCGCAAATCGGCCGCACGTCAACGCTAGGAACGTACCTATGTGCCTAAGATCTTGGGCCTGACCGCTCACCGCTTACCGCTGGCGCTAGCTTATGGCCTGGTTAACTGGTGTGGTTCAGCAACGTTGCCTGGTAGTCGATATTGTCGGTAGGGCAGGGACAAAATTTCTATATCACAGCATTATCAAATGGGTAGGGATTATATACTAATTGTATGAGCCTGTTTGCCTGACTTAATTTAATTTTTGCTATACTTGTTCGTAGATGATTTGTTTTCCAGATGCTTGTACAGAATCTAATCCTTCATGAAACGCTGACAGCGTTGCGTGTGTCGTGCAGAGCCAACCTACTTGATGCCGACTTTCAAGGATGATGCAATTTATCTCGTTGTTTTCACTTCTATGCTACTGTGCTTCCCGGAGAAGAAATCAGTCTTCAGGATTATTTTAACACGCACACCGAAAGAGTCTGACCATACGGTTCATGTTAAGCTGTCAACGACTAAGAATGAAGATTATTTTCCGCACATCTGACGGATTAGGGAAAAATCCATGATAAGAAGGATCACATGATGAAGGATGGGTCGCAAAGAACTCACGTTCGGCTACAACTTATAAAGTTAAAGCTTTAGTGCGAAATCTTAGGTATGAAGGTTCATAGGAAAAAGTAAAAACAGCCTGAGTATGGGTTTTGGATACAAAATTCTGATATTTCGTACAAGCAAAAATGATGGAAGATTCTCCATTCCTGACGGGTGCGATCATTCGCGTTGGGCTACAAATGAGTTTTATTAGTACTATCGCAGGTACAAACATTTTATGTTTTGGCCTTAAACAATAATTGTCGTTTTCCACTAATGATCCGAGAAAATGAATTGAATGTTCACCGCATTTTTCTGGGCTCAGTGTGTCTAAGGATATAAGAGAGCTGGCCAATAATAGCATACATCTTCGCCAAGGTATGTAACTTACTATTTTGAAGCGCCCTTATGAGTGGCCAAATATTTTGGTGAAGCCTCTCGACTGACCAATCTAGTATTGAACATCATACCTGTAGTTCTGAAGGCGGCCGATAAACAGACTCCACGTCTACGCTAGACGAAAACGACATGCTCTGTGCCGAAGCCTTCCTCTGCTCATGATATGAATACCCGGGCGACAGATCAGAAGACGCCATCTCCGAGACAAAGTCACTCAAAGATGAGTAACTTGAACTAGTACTGTCTGCCTCTTCAGAATCAGAACCGCTCTCGTCTGTAGGTTGCTGTTCGGCACTCTGGATACTCCGCAGCGCTCCATTCAAAGAACTCCCGTCGTCCCAGACCACGAACCGGATTGGTTCCAAAGTATGCATGTACCACTTGGGTTTGTCGCCAATTAAAGCTGGGTCCAAAACACCTGTTTGTACTCTTTGGAACGCTACATTGGTTGGAGTTAAGGACCATTCTGCTAAGAATTCTACCGCTTGGGTTCTTGCAAATCTGAAAATGTCCATCCTCAGTTAAAATACCTTAATCTTTTAGATAAGGTGAACATGATTTTTTATATAATGGAATGCTTAAAGTCAATCTACCCGTCTTAGGATCTAGATCTTAGGAACTGTCTTTATTACACTTTTTGCCGTTATTAAAATTATGCATTTTCGGTATCTCTCATCTATGAGTATTTACAGTCTGCGAACATCGAAAGTTCACCAAATTTGGACTACCTAATTCTGAAAACTTAGGATCTTTAGTAACTTTTGGGTATCGTCAATGCTCAAAAACTCGGTTAAAAATTATAATGTATGAGCTTATCAAATATATAGATAAGTTAAAGCTAAAACCTTCCACTACAAGATGTTGGAGAGTATTTTAAGATTATTTTATTTTAAAACGATTTTCAACCTTGTTTGCCAAATTTAGCGATGACTTGGTTTTCTCAGACTGCTCATATAAATATCTAAATAAACGATTACACTTTAAACTTGATAAATGCTTACGGTCTATCGAAAATAAGTATTCTGATTGGCCATACTAACAAAAACAAAGCTGGTATTTTTATCAGAACCATAATACTTCCGTCATAAACTAGAGGATAGTATCTGCGAATTTCCCATTTTGCAAGGGCGATGAAAACGTGTTGTAACCCTACTCGAATTGAAACGGGGTAGTTACTGTGTTTATATTTATTGATATGAAGATGCTGTATTCTAATTTAAGATGATAGTCAAAATGCTAGATACTGTAAAAGAAAAATTTTAGATTTCTGGTATTTATTATAATACGAGTATATATACTGTATTTTATCATCGAAATATACCTCATCTACGTGCCTTTCTGCGTTCTGGCTTATGACGGCAGAATATACCCCCATATCTCTGTATATATTAAGCACGTTATTATTGGTTAATCGTATTTCTGGTATTTTTTTTTAATCGGTTATTACAAACTTATTATATTTGTGAGGAGTTCACTTCAAGTTCTAGTTGAACAGGGCAGTTACATAATAATATTTGCAAATTGCATTTTGGTTTACCAAAACTGCAATTTGGAAAAACAGAAAGCACATATATACAGGGTGACTTCGAAGTTGAGTCATTTATTTTAACAGTGAGTAGATCTGATCAAAAGAAATGTTTTTTTCCTATACCATTTTTCTGGTAAAATTAAAGTAACAAAGTTATAGCCCTTTGGAAGTTTGAGTACTGCCCTGTCTCAATAATAATATCATGTGCTTGTGTTTGGCAACAACGGATATAATCCACCTTATCGGTTCATCGCATAGGAAACAAAAAAGCGAAAGAATTTGGAACGAGTTTTTTACAATTATTTCATTTAGTTCAGTTATACCACAGCCGACGTCAACTACGAGCCGTGAACAAAGAAATCTGGCAACGTAGGTGGTAGTGTTACTCCCGCTGAGAAAACATAACCTTTTAATTTGTGGTTTTGGAATCGCAGAGGCTGTAATTAAGAGATAAGCTTGTTTTCTAAGCTTCAAAGTGTGTGTATGTGTTCAAAGTGATCGGTGACTATTATGAGAAATAGACTCCAGTTGTAGTGCTTCTGTGCTTTAAAAATAAACTAAGAAGTGTGACTGTGGCTGTTCGCGCCTCATGACGCTAAGGATTTCAACTATTGAAAACGTGCAAATTCTGGTTATATAATATATAATACAAGTGTAATAAAAGGAGAATTGAAGCGAAACGAATTTTGTAAGCCTATTACCAATAAATATGATTATAGAGTACAATTTTTAAAAAAATTCCTGATATGGTTAGAAAAATGGCATAATCTAGAGAATAATAATGGACACCTGACACCAGAAACGTATACAGCTCTATATCAAAGCACGCTGACTCTACTTAATATAATTGAATATTCATTTAATCAATTTGACATCGAGTATGTATTGCCTGGAAAATTCACCACTGATAATTTAGAAAAACGATTTGGCAATTATAGACTTTTATGTGGCTGCAATTACAGTGTGTCATATGATGAAATTTTAAATGCTGAAAAGAAAATACGGCTGAAGCATATTTTCAATGAAAAGAAATCGTCATTTTCTTTAGCAGAAATTAAAACAAGGTTCCAAAACTGCTTAGAAACTCAAGAAAATTTTGATTTCTTGGATACCAAACAAAATCCTGAAGTTTTGGATATATTCAATGAAGTATTTGAGACAAATTACTTAGCCAATTGTGACATAGAGGATAGTACTAAGACTTATATATCTGGATATGCTTCACACGCTATCTCTAAAAACCTAAACTGCGAGATATGCAAATCGCTAATAGTTAAAGAAAAAGGTTCATTAACAACAAATGTTTATTTTGATCATTTGCAAAGAGGAGGACTGTCAATTCCAACCAGTTATGTACCAATCATATTCTACCATATGTATGCCATTTTTGAATCTATTATTAATGTAGATAGATTGGAAATTTTCTTCTTGAAAAGCAATAGTCAAAAATTTATTTTGTGTCAGTTAACCTTGCTCAGCAGTCAGTCTGACTTTATATACAGTGAATTTTCTTTAACTTGCATCTGTGGCCGCAATTATGCAGATATTTTATCTAAGCTTTTGTTTATTTTTTTAAACATAATTTTGAATGATTATGTAAAATTGAAAAATAACAGTAAAACTTAAAGTAAATGTATTAAAAACAAATAGGTAACTCCACATTTCCAAGCTGGGCCTGTTGGAACACAGTGTGCTGACACCAAAAAACGTAAACTAAATACTTTTAATTAGGTTAACTGCATTAGCGACTCATATATATCACGTATATTTCGTATTTTTAAATTTTTTAGAGCTATTTCATATTCAGATGATTTGTATCGAATCGAACTGTCCTCTTTTCCAAAATTAAATTTAGTTCTTGAACGTTACACGGAGACGGAACACACAGCCGCTGGCGGCCGACGTTCACAGGTAGCACTACCATGCCGTCCGAGCGCGGTGTTGCCTTTCTTTCATCACGGCTCGTAGTTGACGTCGGCTGTGGTTATACATACAGTCAGTGTCAGTCGCGTGTGAATAGTGTCTGTTGCGTGGCTCAAACGAAATAAAAAATGGCACATGTTTATGCGGATCGGTTTCCCAATCGAGTGCAACCAACCCCTCGTGCCTTTGTTAATGTAGTACAACGGGCTCGTGAATCAGGTGACTAAAGACCTCACAGGGGACCTCACGATCAAATACAGGTCCGCACTGAAATACTTGTCGGGAGGATACTTTATAAAACAAGGTAAATTTTTTTTTTTATTTTTCTTTTATTTTTACACACATATTTTGGTTTATCTTCCTTCTACAATCATTATCTGAAAATTAATGACTCAACTTCAAAGTCACCCTGTATACACATATATTCACTGTTATTTCTGTTTAACTAAGAATACCTGTATATATTAAAACGGGAGATAAAATTGTATATTCTGATGTGGAATCGGTAACTAAACCGCTTCCTCATACGGAAGCCCCCCCCCCCCACCGCAACATCTAATGAAAGAAAGAAAGAAAAATATGCATAGAAGAACGGGAACGACATCGAATTGGAACTTTCCAGTTTATAAAGTAGTAGGTAGTAAATATTAAGACCTAATATGTCCCTAAAGATTAATTCCCTTGATTCTCATCATGACTTGTTCTTCTAAAAGTTGAGTGACGTAAACAACAAGAACGGAGAAAGATTCAGTCAAGACATTATGTTGATGAAAAAAAGGATGCCAAGGAAAGGAATACAATGCTCGGAGATCTTTGTTGGGCATTGAACCGAGATCCGTCGTTATATTCAGGGTGACCAGTGGGAAAGTTCACACTTCAACCGTATACCCGATGAAGTGAAGTGAAGGTCTTGATCGACGACTTCGGCGTGCGGGTTAAATAGTCACAATGGAACGTTGGACCGGAGCCCAACGTGCTTTTGCTAGGCTTACTTTTCGGAAATTTTGTACACGATACAACATTCGCCAACCAAGAGATGCTCCAAGTGAGAACCTATTGAAAAAGTGGATTAAGAAGTGCCGTGAAAAGGCTCTACTCTTATTCAACCCATTGCTGGCCCCACACCTACTGTATCAACCGAAAAAAATGTGCGTCGAGTAAGTGATTCGGTCATTGCAAATCCTCGGCGTTCTGTACCAAAGCATACCGCTGCTTTGGGAATCCCTAGGTCAACACTGTATGGCATAATGAAGAAAAAAATGGGTTTTAATCCTTATAAAATCCAATCAGTCCATGCTTTAAGTGAAAGTGATTACGTATTGCGAAAATCTTGTGCTGGACGGATGTTGAATCTTTTTCCTACGCAGCGCAGACTCGAGTACGTTGTTTTTAGTGACGAGGCCCATTGTCACTTAGACGGTTATGTGAACAAGCAAAATTACAGATATTGGGCACCAACGAATCCAAAAGAAAAACATCAACAACAGCTACATACTCCAAAGGTGCGCCATATCCTCTAGCAGTATTATTGGGTCGTATTTCTTTGAAGATGAAAACGGTCATGCATAGACAGAAAATTCGGAGCAATACAAGGACATGATTGACTCTTTTTCACTCCTATTGTAAGAACAGAACGTCGATTCAACAGAAACACATGGTTTCAACAGGATGGGGCCACTGCCCATACTTCCAGAGAATCGATGGACACGGTGAAAGCACTATTCTCCTCCTAAAAGTTATATCGAAGTTTGGAGACATTCACTGGCCTTCTAGGTCACCCGAGAGTCAAAAGTGTATTCCAATGATCCCCGATAACTTGAGGAGCTTAAAGACATTCTACGAGAAATAAACATCACTCCGGAACTCTGCAAGAGAGTGTTTCAGAATGTGTGCTCGCGATTAGAAGGGTATGTCCGAATGGATGGCAAACATTAGTACGAAATGACATTTAAGAAATAAAATCCGTCGAAGTTACGATTATCTTGACACTAATGAATATTTTCTTTTCATCAAGTTTGTATATTTTTCCTTAAATCAAAAAGTAAAGTTTCCCACTGGACACCCTGTAGCTATAGTCACAAGCAAAAAGAACAAAAACCTCCTCAGAATTTTTTTTGTAAGCAACTTCCCACGAATGTAATTTTTGTTCTTTTCTAAAGAAAATGGGCGTTTCTATTTATTTCACCCTCATATTTCCCATGTCAAAGTATAAATCAATATAATGGCACTTGCAAACAAGGACAAAAAAAATTTGTTGACCAGTGTTGTTTTAATAACTACCAGGATATTTATGGCACTTCAAGCTGAAGGTATTTTTCTAATCAAATCGTTTTGCCATCGGCAATGGTAAAGATAAGAATAATTCCTAGAGATCAAACCGAAGCACTCTTTCAAAAACATTACCAAAAAACATAAGGAATTGCTTTAGGTATCTGATTATTTTGGATGTGAACACAATTTTGACTATCAAGACTATATGTTCCGGCAGGGGGCTGTTATTTAGTCCTTGACGCGACTTACGAATGCAGATTAGTCATAAGAAATATATAGAAAATACCTGTTGAGGAACTGTGACGTTCTTGGTCGTGATCTCAAGAAACTGTTGATCTGGAAAGCTACAACAGGCCTTGGGTATAACCTTAACGTCCTGGTGTGCTCAGAAAAATTTGCTAGCAAATTCTGGGAATTGAAAAATCGAACCTGGAAATAGAAAACTTATTGAATCCACTTGAGAAACACCCCAATATATCGTAAGAATACAATCTTACAAAAATGCGCATGAAAAATTTGACAGGAGCCAGAAATTACTATTTTCAAGTTCTCCAAACGTTTTTATACTTACAGTGATGAAAACCTTAAAAAGTGGTATACGGGTTAGACAGATCTTAAGCTTAAGACCATAACTAGTATTAAATATTGTTCATATATCAAGCATAAAATGAAATAGCGAAACTTTTTACACATCTGAATACTATCGCAAGCATCAATGTTCTCTGATGACAGGAAAATCTTCCTCACTGTTAGTTGCCTTAACACGTTCGCGACGTAGCGTGTATTTGTGATCAATAATCTTTTATATACAAATGTGTTTTAGTGTTTTTAGTCATGTTCCACCGGTGGTTTACGACGGCTGTGACATATATTTGTTGTTCAGGGAGGTCGTGTACCACCGGTGGTACATGACTGAAAACAATAAAAAACAAGAGAAAAAACAAAGAAACATGTATATAAAAGATTATTGATCACAAGTAAAAAATCTACTTACACATAAAGTACAGAAAATTGAAGGCAATGCTAGAAACAATAGAAAACGGTGTACTTCCTGTTACGACAAATTACAAAGAGAAAGAGGGTCAAAAGAAGCAAGAGCCAAAGCTAAGAGACTGATGACTTACTGCGATGATTGTGACAACAAACCGCCAATGTGTTTCGACTGTCCTAACGAAAAACGTTCTGAAATCCTAGTTTCCTAATAATTTTGATATTTGCTTTTTTTTTAATTTCAAAAAATTTTGACTTTTTTCTGTTTTGAGAGGTTTTTATAAGTTAGGTTTTAGCTGTTTTTGTACCGTGTAACAAAATAAGGTTACTTGAATAAAATAATATTGAAAATATTCCTAAGATCCAATTTATTTAGTAGTAGTAGTAGTAGTAGTAGAAAGATTTATTTAGCACATTTGGCTACATAAACAGAACAATTGTAAACAACTTAGAACTAGTAAATTCAAGCCATATGGTGTATGATGTAAATGCTGGGCAACCTATAATTGTAGATTTAACAAGTGATTTCTCAATTTTACTTTAAATTTTGTCAAATTTTTCTGGTCTTTTATCTCCGAGTATAATTTATTATATTCAATCAACCCTTGATGGAATACAGATTTGTAGCATATGTTATACTTTTTGGTCATTAAATGGAAGTCATCTTTATTTCTGGTATTATGTAAATGATGGTCGACATTTGATGATGTTAAATTAGTTAGACTTGATGGAAATATATTATTTTTTACTTTATAAATGAATATCATTACAAGATATTTGATAAAATTGTTTACATTGAGCCATTTTAATTTGCTAAGCATTTGCCTAATTGGAGTATATTTATCTTTATTTAGTATTATTCTCATGCACTTATTTTGTAAAATTTGCAGTCTTTCAAAAATGGAATTATTTGCTAAATATAGAATAGTCGAACAGTACAAGAAATTTGGAAGAATAATGGTATTATAGATAATTTTTCTGCTATATGAACTCAGACATCCAGAAACTCTCGATAAATATCCCACTTTACTACTAATCTTATTTATAACTTTTTCATAATGAATATCAAAAATTAATCGAGAGTCAACAAAAACTCCCAGGTATTTAAAATTTTCTACGAATTCAATATCTTCACCATCAATATTCAGTTGAACATTTGTACATTGTTTTTTTCCGATTAACAAGGCTTTCGTTTTACTTGCATTTAATTTTAGTCTGTTAGATGCTAACCATTTTGAGACAAGCTTCAAGTCTTCATTTATATAAGAGATACCAGACTGAATATTTTTAGTACTTATATAAATCATAGTGTCATCGGCGAAAATTTGAATTTTGCATTTTTTGACTATGGCAGGTAAATCATTTATGTATAAAATAAAAAGAAGTGGTCCCAGGATACTGCCCTGTGGAACACCCAACGTATTTTCAATTTTTGATGAAATAGTGTCATTAACTTTTGTAACTTGCATCCTTTTAGACAAATAATTTCTAAACCAATCTAAAACACTTCCTGTTATACCATATGCCTTCAATTTACCTAACAAAATATCTTTATCAATCGCTTCAAATGCCCTCTTCAAATCCAAAAATACTGCTATGACAACTTCTTCTGAGTCTATGGCTCTTCTCCAATTCTCAGTTACCAACTGGAAAGCTGTTTCTGTGGAATATTTTTTTCGAAAGCCTGCTTGCGCCTCCACTAAAATTTTGTTTTCTTCTATAAACTGCATTAATTGGTCATGTACTATGGACTCTAATAATTTTTCAATGTCTGGTAACACATTTACTGGTCTCATATCGCTGCATCTTTTAGAATTTTTTATTTTGGGAACTGGTGTTATTGTAGAGCATTTCAAATTTTCAGGGAAAGAACTGCTTCTCAGTGAACAATTGATCTAATTTAATACAGGATATCCCAAAATTTCGAAACAGTTTTTCAGCACGTTTTTAGTAGTCATTTCGGCACAGTTGTTATTTGATTTTAAACTGTTTACTTTTTTTCTTAGATAATTCAATGATACGCTGTGAAATTTTGAAAGTGTATGCAACATTTCCCCCTGGAAACTGATTTTCATATAGTCAGGTGCAGCATTGGCAGTACCTACAATATCAACAATACTTTCCACAAAATATTCATTTAGTTTGTTGCAATCACCAAAGAATTTGTTTCGGTACCGTTTTCGAATTGAACTTGATTTACACAATCATGTGGCTTCGAATTGATCAGTCTTTTTAAAGTCTTCCACATCTTTACACTGTCGCACTTGTTATTATCGATTTGTTTATCGTAGAATTTTCTTTTTTCTTCTCTAATTACATATACACATTTATTCCTAAGAGTTTTATATACCTCCCAATCATCATTTGATTTTGTGAATATACATTTATTGTATTGTTTGTCTCTCAAATTTTGAGCTGCCTTAATATTCTTGTGATACCAGGGTGTATTTTTTGTCGAGCAAATCACTTTTTTATCAGTTGCAAGATCTAAACAAGTTTTTATATTTCCTATTATGTTGTCATATATTTTTTCCATATTCTCACCAAAATTCCAATAGCAGCCAGCAAGTTCTCGTTCAAGTTTTTCGTACTTAATAGTATTTACGATTTTCTTAATTTTTGTATCAGAAAAATGCCCTACCAAGGGCAGCATTGTCCAACTGTGATCGCTAACTTTAGGTGTATGTACAGCTTTAATCCCTGCACATTCGAAATTTACAATAACAAGATCTAACAAAGTCTCTGATAATGATGTTATTCTGGTACTCTCTTCAATTTTTTGCTTGAACCCATAGTTGTTTATGGTTTCTTTCAATTTTCTTGTTTTCATGCTTTTACCATAATAATTTAAATTAAAATCACCTAAAAGTATTATATTGTTTCTAAAATTCCACATTTCTTCGCATTTTTCTTCAAAAAACGTTAAAAATGTATCTGCATCACTGTTTGGTGAACGGTAAAAAGTACAAAGATCATAACGTTTCCCAAATAATTTGAACTGTATATGTGCATACCAGTATGCATAGTCTAAAGTGGTACAATCGAATAATGTGATCTGTATTTTGTGGTAAACATAAATCACTACACCTCCAGTATGTCTGGAGTTGGAGTTGCATCTGTAGGTTTTATAATTAGTAATTTGTAATTCACCATCAGTGATGTCTTCTGTAGCATGTGTTTCGGTAAGACATAATACAAGTGGTTTTCTCCATCTTAAAAACTGTTGAACTTCATCTATATTATTCAGGACTCCTTGTATGTTTAAATGGTCAAAAATAATTATATAATATACAAATATGATCTTACTTAGAATCGAATGTACCACAAGTCATGTACCACCTTTACGTACAGCCTAACTTCTTTTCCAAGCTTCTTATGCAGACGTGGCCTTTTAAAATAGGATTAAATATAATGCGCACTGTGTACCCCATGTGGTACACGACGTCATGAACGTGTTAAGGCTTCACCTCCCATGGTTCTTCGTCTTTGATTACACATTTTATGATTAGCATTATGATTTTACATTATATTCATATTATGAAGATATGTTCTCGCAAAGATGGAAAAGTGGGTTTCCAACATTGTTCTATCGAGCAACAAAACAGCATTTCTGAAATTTAGGATCTACAGGGCGTCTCAAACTGTCTATTCAACCCATTGGCTTAATAATAATCACATACGTTATTTGATAAAGTCTTACAAAAGGTGTTCTACGAGTTTCCGGTATCGAGATGTAAGCTGCGAAGTAACGTACCTCAAAGGAATGTAACTGCTCAGCACATTTTTTAATGAATTTTTTTCTGTATATTGCATGAATCCGAACGATTGACCACACATCAGAGCAAGCTCCTGATTTCAATAGATGAGAAGTTTAGAAAGGATGTTGTCAACAAAATGTATCTGTTTCTTAATGTGAATTAGAAAGTGCGTTTGTTACATCACTATTCGAGATTCTGACTTCGATAAGACCGGTATACGATAAATTGCATCACTATGGCTTTGAAGGATCAGTATTAAACGTTTTACAAAATTAATTAGTAAGTAGAAGTCAAATAACTAAAGCTGGAAATATTATGAATAGCGTACAAGAGAGGAGTATTATTTATATAACCCTGCAAAACTCAAATATTTGCGTACGAAACATTGATATATCTGGCACACAAGCATTTGGATACTGCATTAGAACTGTTAAATGGTGATATTAAAAAAATTGTGGTTAAATGTCAATAAACTTAAATTAAAGACTAATAAAAGAATGTATGTCAATAGGAAAACATTTAAGTGACAATAGAATTAGACTCCTTTTTTTATATATCGAAGAAGCTGCGCAGGCAGAAGCCTAAATGCCGGAGCACCGCGGCTGCTATAATGATCCCAAAGAAATTTTTTTAATACGATTTTTGAACTGCCTAAGGTTAGTAGAACTGGGAAAAGCTTCATCTTGTAGACTGTTCCACAATCTCGACACCCTCGGAGCGGTCATGTCGGCCAGTTCTGGATGTATGAAGTTCGACACGGTTAGGATGGGACGCCAAAGTCAGGCAGGTCTGCCTGGCAGGCACATCGAGCGGCGGCATCATGGAAGGAGCACAGCCCGTTGGTGTAGCGGTTGAAAATTGCTAGATCGCCGACGGCCCGCCGGTGCGAAAGGGTCCCGAGACTGTCTGTTAGAGAAGAGTCATCGATCAGTCGGACCGCCCTCCTCTGGACAGCATCGAGCATGGACAATGTAGTCGGACCTAAACGTGTGAGCAATACTCGAGGCTAGGCCTTATCTGGGCCTTGTATAGAGTGAGCAGGTCATGCGGAGAAAAGTACTTCTTAGCCTTAAACAAATAGCCTAGCTTTTACCCAGCAGCTGCTGCTATTGACGAGATGTGTTCGTGCCACATCAGGGCTCCCACCAGTCGAAAGGAATGGCTCTTTGGCAGAACTCTGCGAAACCGGATGATCGCTAGGACGCTTTTTGTTCGTCAACGTATAGTACTGTGTTTTGGAAGCATTGTTGCGTCCCCAAGCAGTGATAGCCTCCAGGTCTCTTGTCAGATATGATAAATACTGAAAAAACTGAAGTAGTCGAATCATTCTAATACCTTAATATATATGATTATAGTAAACTACTGTTTCAGGAGCATTATGGACACATTATTTCAAAAATAACAAAAAAAAATATAAATTACTTCTATAGAGTTTCTCATAATCTTAGTATATTTTCCTAAAAAAATGTGTAAAGCACTATATTCCTTCCCCATTTTTTATATTGTTCAACCATCTTGTTTACACCAAATGAAAACATATTTCCAAAATTACAAATTCTACAAAATAAGGCTATGAGAATCATTTTAAATAAAAACAAATATGCTAGGATTAAGTCCATGTTAAAAGAACTAGAAGAAAAGGGAGTATTTGAATTCAATAAATTGAGAAATGATATTAAACAGCGTTCGAATTTAAAAATGGTTAAGGTGTAATTAAAAAATCACTCTATGAATAATCAAAATCCATAGTGATGTAATTTTAATAGACAAGAATGTAAAATTACAGAAGATGGTTTGAAGAAAAGAATGTAAGCGAATAATTATACAAACGACCTTGTATCATTAATGCTAAATAAATCTTCAACAAACAAAATACTGATTTTTGGTTTCTTAATCTAGACTAACACCCTGTAACGAAGTAGCTAAGGATGCTCGACGTTGGCTGAACGTATCTGATTTCCTTTGAACCACCACGAATGCTTAAGGCCTAAACACCCGTTTGGCTATTGAGGATACAGGGGCAGCGGGTTGGAAGTCATACGGACTCTAGCGAGGGAGCACGTCTGCATACAGGCACATAGACTGGCCCCGCCTTAGAGATCCGCCGTGTGGTACCTCCACGTTCGACAGTCCGAGACCGTTTACCACCAACGGACAGTCGCGACATCCATAGCCAAGAGAAAAATTATCTTGATACCGCACCTCACCGTAAGTGATTAGTAGATAGCTAGATCGTTTACCACCTCGCTGCCTGGAATTTTGAACAGATTTCATTAATTTTTTTGATGGAATATGTTAACGCTTGCAATCTTACTTCTTCATGTTATTGGCGGGGGAACTGAAAGCTAAGTAGAAATATGCAACATAATGGAAGTATTTACCATTGCAACTCTAGTAGCAATGTCTACAGAGTCCACATCACTACCATACACGAATGGGTTGTATCCCGACGAAGGCGTTGGAGGTCTCGAAGGAGGTATGTAGGGCACTTGAGGTGTCAAAGAAAGCTTGTGTTGTTGAATGTTTGTATTCACCGGAGACATTGCTGGCGACAGTTCTGGCTCTGGCGTTTTGCTTTTTCCCACACTGTAACAAAAAGATCTTAAAAAGGAGGAGCACTCTGCACATACTTACCACACATTGACGGTTTCCATAACGAAATACGTAAACGCGTGAGAAGTAATGTTTACATTTTAAGATTTTACAGACACTTCAACTACATCAATATGGTATTTCAGAATATCTTTATATTTAATTTGATATCACTGAATGCTTGAACAAAATGCTAATGCTAATGCAAAAAGTATAATACTAACCTCAATGTATTTGGCGATGATATACTTTCTCTTCTGGATGGCTGGAGTTGTTGAGTTACTGCACTATTAGTTGATAAGCTGTTGATTGCCTGCGAAGAGATCATACTTATTTCGTGAAGCAGAAATACCCCAATTTTCACAAAAAGCGTAAAACACTATTGCCGTTTCTAACTACTAGCAGTTGATGCTATAGCCTGTTGTACTCTCTTGTTACTACAAACAGATTTCACTGATTTCACAGCTTCCGTTGAATATACTTAGCGACAAACGAATAGAACACCCAGCAGAAATTATTTCATTCGAATTGAAGTTTATATACACCTATGCATAAGCAAGAGGCAGTCCCGATTAAATTACGAAGTGAATAAATTTGCAGTATTGCTGGTTCTCCTTTCTTCTGAGGAGGTGATTTGTATATGAGAACAAGCATTATCTTGTCGGAAAATGGGGCTCCCAAGGTATTGCAAAAGATGACGTTCCATCATCTCCAGGAAGTACCCGTCCGACGTCATATCTCTCTTCTAACGAAAGTTAGAAGTGACTTAGGACTAAATGTAATGGCAACCCCAAACCATAACTCCTTCAGTATAGTACATGTGAAATGAACTTTTCTAAACAGAATTGAAACTCATCGCTAAAAGCAATGTTATAACAACCATCATCCCAATTTTCACAATTAAAAGTTTTGATTGTACTTTGCGTGGATCGTACTGTAAGAATTATACCTTGAGTCGCCATTGCGTATGGTGCCAACCCTCTACCCTCTCACAAAAAAACCTAATCTGAGCTTCTCACCTCTAGCTTTTATTAGAAGAGGTATTATGAAGCAGGGGTATATGCAAAATATTCTGAAATGGCATCATTTGAAATATCATCAAAGCCCATTTTTATACAAGACAGTACCCGTCTTTATATCGCTAGAACTTCAATTTAATTGAAAACGCTCAAGTCAGCCTTCCCTGGTCTCCTAGACCTCCAGAGCATTGGCCCATTGAACATAGGTGTATATAGGACGTGATTAGTATAAGAGCGACCTCTTTACCCCATATTCCACAAATGCTAGTGGCTCTTCGCATCCAAGTACAGCTAGCTTGGGATAAAATAACTGAAGAAGACTCAAGAACCCGACGACTGGACGAATGTATAAGACAACGAGATAGCCCAACACGTAATTAAGGAAATCTAGCGATACTGCAGATATTTTCACTTCAAAACTTATCATGACCTCCTGTTGACCATGTCCAATTGTATATATAATTTCTTGCTTAAGCTAATGGTTTTTATAGAAAGTTGTATTAAACACACACAATATGTCACTTCTGTTTTTGTTCACTCAGGAATCAAACAATTTCTCCTAGAAACAGGGGGTGATTTCTTGAAATAATTTTTCGGGACACATTGATAGAAGAAGGTTCCCCAGGTCATTCTCAGAAAAAAAACTACAAAAGTAATCGCCGTCATCCTCTGAAGACAAAGCTAACCTTGTGGTAAAATATAATGATGTGAAGAAATTAAAAGTATTCTTTTACCAGATCAAGGATGTAAAGGCAATAGAATCTTTTCTACTGATTATTCCATTATCTCCTTTTCAAGAATTGCACTCGTTAGTATAATGGAAGAAAGATACCAAGGTAGGTGACACCACCATATGTTGGTAGACTATTATTGGACTGGAATTAACCTAATCAAAACAATGGTAAACAACCCTACAAAAAGTGTTTTGTATGTTTTTTTTTAATTTCATGAGTAAATATATTTTTAAGCTTAATAAATAATACCTTCACAATACATATTAGTATTTTTTCTCAATGGAATAGTCAATATTTTTTATCTCACAAAACTAGAGTCAATTTGAAAAACTTTTCTGGTATTCAGCACGTGTCTTATAAGGAATTGGCTTCAACCTATCATACCACGAAATGGCTGCTTCACAGTGTGATTGTCAAACATAAATTGAGTTTATGTTTGTCTAACAATGAATGACTCTTGTAGTACAAAATCACTTCGAAGCTTATCAATTTTGATCGGTAGGAATCGGGAGATGTGAGTTATTGACTAGATGAAAAATAAATAATGACGAGGAAAATCGCACAGTATGCTTCAAAAACGGTGGTGTTCAATATTAAAAAGTGTTAGTAGGATCCGATGTTTCAATAGTATACCAAAAAATATTCATAAATAAAATGGGTTTCACTATAATTGCTTATTTAAAATTTCGCAATCTCCTAATCAAAATATTTTCCCTTAATAAGGTGATCGGCTCAGCCAAATCTATCGCCGCCATCTTTGTTGGAAATACTTTTGAACAACCTCATTTTTTCAAATACGATGTAGCAAAGCGACTAGTTACTTGTAATAACATGCTGCAAAACCCCCTAAATAATACAGATTATTCATGCAAGCTCTAAGATTTACTTCTTAAATTCCTCGTCTTAAAGAAGCCATACAAACTAAAATTTTCTGGCACTTGCACGGTGTCGCAAAAAAGTCCAGAAGAGAACCATATCCAATTTACTCGACTCCCGTACAAAAATCTATTCGTTCTTGTTCAAACAAATGTATTCAACTTGCAAATTCAATTTATCTGTGAGAAAAAAAGTGGTGATCTCACGAGAAACTAGGAGGGGAGGAGCTCCTCTACGACAATCTACAAGTATACCCAGGTGTACTCCAATCCTCCATTATCTTTGTATGGCTGGGGTATACCTAATAAATTTTAATACTATCTGAATCAGAACGCATTTCGCAGTTCTTCACTATGTCAAAGCAGCTTTGCAAATACCCAGACGCATGCTAGACTTTGTCCAGAGGAATAACCAAACAGGTGAACAAGCCATTTACCAAAACTATTTCTCAATATACTATTATACTAAACTTTGTATTCCGTATGATTATTGCAAAATATTGTATCTATCAGACATTATGAAAATATATGACAAAAAGTCTTCCTTCAGTGAATAGTTTTGCATTATGCATCTACATCATCTTAAGCTTCATATTTAGTTGGCTCTTCCTCTGTCACATCGCAAACTACAACGCAAAAGATGCTAGCGTAAGAGTTATATTTACTCCAGCTTGATCCATCAGTTGCATTGCCTTTATGGTGGAAGCGAGAATAAGGAAGAAGATTAGAGTGGGAACATCAAAAAAGTTGAAGCTAAAGTAAAACACTCCCGTTAACCATTATGAAAATTGTGGAACAATTATCTATTGCAAATTCTTAAAACCAATCTCTCTGACAAATGTTTGAAAAGCTCAACTATCTCAGATGCTACACGGCTCTATTTTGGTGGTGCTGAATAAATTAAAGCTTGCTAATTTTTATTTGTGACGGTTTTTAATGGACGAATGAATAACTTTTGTTTTCCTGGTCCAAGTTATGGAAATAGCGTCATCATTGCTATCTATTTTAATAATATTTAATGTGTTATAATCCATAAGGACTGCCGGGAATGTGGTAACAAGCTTTTTTATAATTTTCAACAGCTTACCTGTTTAAGGTGATTTTTCAATATTGTACCTTCAGGTTCAGGCAACGGAGGGATTTCATACGGTGTTATCATTTTATTCGAATCTAGATCTACCAGAAATATGTCATCTGGTAATCTAAAACATAATTATTATGGGTATTTCACGTGCATGCTTCCATAACTTTTATTTTAGCAAAGTTTTTCAAATACTTCTATATGTGTAATGTCTTGCGCTTTGGAAAAACAACATCGTTTTTGTCCCTACATTTCATGCGTGTGTGACCATAACTTAATTTTGTGTCGTATTTTTTTGAATTCCATATCAAACATTAGTTGAATGTCACAATGTCACATAACCTATGGAGTTATTATCTGATTATGTACGAATAATAGACCATCTAAATTCTTTACAAATAATACAAAAACTATTCATAAAAACAATTCATGTAAAACCTTTACTATATCCCTCAAATCGAGGTTTATAGAATCAAAACTTTTAGATATAATATACAATAATTCCATAAAAATAAACATTCGACCATTTATAAAAATTATGAACATGATACTAGAAATAAATATAATCAAATAATTATTGCAAAACCAAAAAAAGAAATAATGTTGAAATCTTCTATATACTTAGGTTGAAAATCATATCATAACATACCAAAATATATTAGGAAAAACCGAATATCTTTTCTTCACTGTTGGTCTACGATACAAAATTAATGTACATATTACACTTATATAGATTTTTTTAGTCCTATCAGTTTATTATAACTGCTATGTTAAAGGGTGTAAACGTTATGATACTGATTATTTAAATGGGTGATAGAGGGGGGTTAAAAGAAGCAAAAAGTTTCATATAACATGGGGGGTCAAATCGGCATTTTTTCAGAGAAAAGCGACTTTAAAGTAAAATAAATCTGATAACGCCGCAAAAATATGCAAAAGTATAACAAACCACTGTTACCGTTTGCGATCGATTGCCGGTTCAATAAGAGTGATGATGACCGACGCGCTGTTGTCAAGTGTGTTTTAAATAGGTATTCAATTTAATGAAACTTACTTGCTTACTGAATACAAATTTTGGCTAAACTTAGAAAAACTTAACGCCATTTATTTGTTAATTACCCAATTTGAAAACGTTTTAGATTAGATTAAAAAAATGAGTAAGATTGTGGTGATTTTAGTCGATATAAAACAATTAAAGTTGTAAACTATAAAGCCAATTAGACAAAAATCTATTCACTTTTGGCCCATGGGTCATGTGAACTTTTTGACCTGTTTCGACCCCCCCCCCTCCCCACTATTACCCACTTCAATAATGACTACCATAACATTTACATCCTGTACTATGTATGTTGTGTTAGCATGATATCCACATACAGGGATATTTTCCTTTTGTGGCATATGCGTAATTGATGTGAATAAATTATTATTATTATTATTATTTGTGTCCTAAATGTGATTTAAAAATACGACGGTTGCGAACTTATTGAGGCAAACCATTGGTTCTCTATAGTTTATCCTCAATTATATTTTTGGAAGAATACTCCTTTTACTACTTTATCACTTATTGACAGTTCTCGTGTTACCAGCAATAATCTTCTCATAAATATATTAGCAACCACCTGCTCATTGTGCACTCGGCATCTATTTATTGTAATATTTTTGCAATAAGCTTGAGCTATTTGGTATTTTACAAATCATTTTTTAAAGCGTATTTTAATATTCAATGTCGCACATATAGATTGATAAACGTGAATAGCATACTTACTTGAAGTTCTTTTTGTACATTAAAAAACTAGCAGGAAGACCAATAACGAACGGTGTAGGTGCCAGGAGCAGCTAAAATACAAACGGAAATTTCATAAGCGTCATACTGTTATGGATGGAATAAAATAATTTTTAAGATATCTTAATAATTTGAAATTCTTGAGTAAGAGCATGAAATATGAAAAAGTTTGTTGCTCATTTTCTCAGAAATTTTTCTAATATTTGAGGCATTCCTAATATATATTTTACATAGATTTTGGAGTCCGATAAAATTTTAAAAAACCACTTCTATCTCTATAAAATAATGTTTCACCACTTTTGAAAGCAGGTTATAGTCCTCCACTAAGTGAGAGCATCTAGATAATATTCCTTTGTTAACGGACTTGAAAATAAAATACATTGGATCTATGGATTTACTGAGATAGATAAATAGTCCTGGAATCTGAGTCTAAGCGGCGCGTTGAAAATATCGACACAAACTATTTTATTATCTCATGCAAAGGGAGCAAATTGACCTATCAATAAACCTGAGATAAGTATAAATACCCACCTGTTCTGCACAGCTCATACACGTAGGTAGTAGCGGTATGACAGGAAACATGTATTCCAAAGGATAAATCATATTTACAAAGGCCATCACAGACATAGATAATGCATTGTAGTCTCGCGACTGCAGTATTATTTTGTGTTCTAGAAGAATCAACGTCAGCACTTTCAAGCAAGTTTCCACACCTATATAAGCAATAATAATAAAGACATTTAAACAGGTAGTCAGTTTTTATGGACTATTGCAAAAAGTCTATGATCCCACCAGAATTATAAATCCATTAAGAATCATTATAGATTTGATAATAGCGAACGAACAAAATTCAATTGCAAAAGTTATGCATCCTCCTAAGATCAGTAATCATTCATGGATATGTTCTGAAGTTGAAAGTAAATTTGATGCTAACAAAGTGGAAGAAATTACTAATGGTAGCTACTATACGTATAAGCATATTGGATAATGTTGAAGTTTGCAGAAAAGCAGCTACAGTCAAGACAATAATTTATAAAAGGAAAGATCCAACACCTTGGTTCTCGTAGACATTCAAGGATTCTAAATTAAAGAGAGACTACAATTATAAAAAGTTTATGATTACTGGAAGTTAAAATGATTGGCTAAAATACACAAGATCTAGGAGCCAATCTGTAGCAGTTCTACGAGTTGAAAAGAAAAAATATTACAATGCCAAAATTGATCAGAGTAAAAGTAGTAGCAAACATATGTATGTGGAAAACGTTAAAAAACATTGTTTCTCCTACTAGAAAAAGTGCGTTATCTAAAATGAAGTTCGACGATAGGGAACAACAAATGAAGAAATAATAGCAGATCGAATGAATACCTATTTCATAGAAAGTGTCAACGACATTGTAAAATCAATTATTGACGGGGATCCCAATCAGTGTCCCATTAGCTCAGATTATAATACATCATTCAGTGAGTTTAGAACAATAAGCATTAACTGTCTCATGCAGATTCTATCAAAAATTAAATCAAATCAAATCAAATCAAAATAGGAGTGAGATTAAAGTATACTTAATGAGCATGATATTATTGGAGCAAGAATATTAATCCTAATAAATTACTGTTTAAAATATGGCAAATTTCCAACAAAACTAAAGTGTTCTACCATAATCCTGTTTCTAAAGTTAAGAATTCTGAGTGTACACCAATATGCGGCCAATAAATATTCTGTCAGATGTTGAAAAAGTTTTTGAAGAAATTATTCACAAACAGATCATCGAATTTATTGAGGGAAATAACATTTTAACCAAATTTCAAGCTGGATTCAGGAAGAAACACTTAACTGAAACCGCAACACAAATGATTTTAGAGGACTGGAGGAGATGTATGGACAATCCGAAACATTCAGTAACAGTGTTTTTGGACTTCAAAAGTGCGTTTGAGACTATTGACAGGGATAAATTACTTACAAAATTGCATCACTACGGATTTAAAGGATCTGTATTCAAAATTCTGCAAAACTATTTAATTGACAGAAGTCAAAAAAACTAAATTGGATCTACATATCAAGATAAAAGAATATTCCTGTTGGTTCACCACAAAGTAGTAAACTAGGTCCACTACTATTTATCTTATACATCATTGACATTTGTAATATTTTAGATTATTGTAAACTTCAGATATTTGCAGATGATACATTAATATACATATCAGATGAAAATATAGACACTGCTTTAAAAATTCTAAATTCTGGCAAAAATCGTAAATTGGTTAAATGTAAATAAACTAAAGTTGAATACTTCTAAAACAAAATGTATGCTAATATTGAAATGCCTAAAAGAAAATAGTAGCACAGTTAGGATAAACGGAGAAATACTTGAAAATGTTGAACCAATTAAATATTTAGGTACATATATTGATAGCAAACTAAAGTTTGAGGATCACTGTGAATACATTATTTCAAAAATTGCCAAAAAGACAAATTACTTTTGTAGGGCTTCTCATAGTCTTGATACCTATTCCAAAAAAATAGTTTATAATACAATTATTCTACCGTATTTACTATATTATTCAACTGTCTTGTTGACTGCCAATGAAGCTGTATTCTCAAAATTACAAGTCTTGCAAAATAAAGCTATGAGAATAATATTGAATAAAAATAAGTACACCAAAATAAAATATATGTTACAAGAATTGCAGTGGTTGAATATACAAAACTTTATATCATATTTGGTTCTTATTTTTATATTTAAAATAAAAAATCATGGTTTGCCACAACATTTAGAACAAACACTACATAGAATTGAATAATCATTACCACAATTATTATACAAGAGGAAATATAGATTTTTATTTACAAAATTGCAATGGTAATATAACTTGCAAATCAATATTTCAGAAAGGATTACTTAAATTTAATAAAATAAATAATAATATAAAGTCTACTTGTAATTTAAAGATATTTAAAAGAAAATTAAAGAAATATTTCATGGACAATGAAAATTCTTAGAGATGCAAATTTTGTTTTTTTTTCTGAATGTCTGTATGTTATGTAATTGTTTAGAAGGGTCTAATTATAGCAATCGTGCTAAATAAATATTGAACAAACAAACAAACAGACTGAATTCAAATTAATTTATTTTTTTGAATGAAGTACAATTTACTTGTATCTATTATGGGAAGTAGTGGTAATTGGTCGATGTTATTTTGTTGGAGGTAGAGAGTTTAGCTCCTTCAAATCAAGACATTTGATCGGCGTTTTTGAGAACGAGAATATCGCTCCGGACGACTATTATGTAAAAAACTTAGAAGCGATAACAAAAACGACGAAATGCTATGATCGCTGTTCGCTGACATTTAAGCAACACGTACAGCTACAAAACTAGTTCACAACAAGTGTACAACAGCTTGTGCTCAGTTAACATCTTGTAGAAAAACCTACGACATGTCAGAAAAACCGACGAAATGTCACTTTTTAAAATTCGTAATACCCGTATGTCTAGGAAACACCAAACTGGTCCATCATTTTTGTTTCCGACTGTATAGAAGATGTAGATGCATCTAAACAGTACTTACCCAGTAATTCTAAAGGCAGGTGCAGTGGATAATCTACCAGACTGAACCTTGTGTGACTAGGTAACGCAAAAACTAAAGGATCGTATACGCTGGGAGAAAGCACCTCAACTTCGACTCTGAAAATAAGAAGTTTAAGAATTTTTATACAAATTGGCAAATCCCTCATAACGATAAATAATTTAAGAATAAAGGGGAAGGTATTTAACATATTCATTTTTTAAAGAGCGGGAGTTGATATAAATTGATTTTTATACATTTTTTGAACTATACAGGGTGATTCACAAGTCGTGACCAAACATGAAGCATCATACACAGGAACTCATTTTAAGGAGTGTCTTCATTAAAAAGATACGCGGTGTTGAAGTTTAAAAATAAAAATCATTTTTTTTTAATATCTTTAAAACCGCCAACTGGAATGAACTAAAATTTGGTATGTTTTTTTAAGCGCGCAATTTTTCTAATTTCACTTTTAATTTGCTACAAATAATCACTCTTGTGTTTTTTCCAAGAGTGCACACAATTCTGACGGATACAAGTGCGGCATCTTTTTAATAAAGAAAATCGTATTTCCGCAAAATTTGTTGTGGACCTCGCAGGCCAATGTATCTGCCAATCCATCGTTGTCTATAATGACTATTTGACCATGCGGCACCGTCGTGCTGATACTACATTCGTATTCTCGTTGCTGACGGAACATCATCTAACACATTTTGTATGTAATTCTCTAGAAAAGCTAAGTATGAGTTTGCATTTAAACGTTGTGGCAATACGTGCATAAACAGTTGGCCATTAAAAATGCCGCACCAGACATGTCTAGAAAATCTGTTTTGAAACGAGTGAATTCTTACAGAAAGGGGATTTCCTTACGACCAAATATGTTCATCATGAGAATTAGAGGTTCCACTCCTCGTGAAAACCGATTCATCTGACCACAAAACCAAATCAATAAAATCTGCATTTTGATTAAGCATTTGCTGTAACCACTCACAAAAATTTTGCCGTTGCACTTTGTCACCGGGTTGCAGACACTTCACATTTTGCCGATAGTAAGGATGTATAACTTCCCCGGGAAGTCTTAGAAATGAACGCGTAAAAACTTTTGGGTAGGTTGACTTCTGTAAGGAAATCTACATTCATACTCCCGCGAAGCCGCTAAAGCATTTCCATTACAGAACCCGTACACAAAAATAATATCGGCTTACTCATCTTTGCTAAACTCCATTTGACTTGACTTTTACAAAAAAACAAAAGTAGTAACGACAACAATCGTTTAACACATAACTTTGACAAACTACTACCCAAGAAACGTCAAGTTGGTATCAATTATTATATTAATATTTTGAAACTACTGTATCTGGGCTCTTCATGAATGATCTAATTTGTTTTATTTTTATTTTTGCGAAAACTGTGCACGCTAGGAAAAAAACACAAGAGTAATTATTTATAGCAAATTGAAGATAAAATTCGAAAAACTGCAACCCTGCAAAAACAACCCGTATCTTTTTAATGAACACTTCGCGATACTGTATATAATGTTATATTTTGGGTCACGACTTGTGATTAATTATCTTTTGATCTTGAATATCAGAATTTTTGTTATTACTAACTTTATTATTTCATGCCTCACGTTGAAAAGAGCTCTCAGATTCTATATGTCGATGGCTTAGTTCTAGTACGGTGTATCCCCAAAAATCGAGTTTTACAGTACGAAGAAAAAACGATTTATCCAAGATTACTTGTCATTTAAAGCTGTTAGATGTTTTTATTATCACATTGGAGATTAGCTTGATCTGTCTTGAAAAAAATATCGACAAGTAGAGACCACTCCAGCCTTGTATGTGGCTTAAGAAGTACATATTAGCATTTGATCATTATGTTTGATATGACCTGTTTGTCTTCCACGGTGGGTTATGACTTTTTTATTCAATATAAAAATTAGGAAACTAATTGGGGTACAGCATATTGAGTGAATATAATTTTGTTAGAAACAGCACTTTGTTATATAATCGTTTATTAATTGATAACAACAAAGGAAAACATAAAAATATCCTCGAGTTTTTAAAGTTGTTAGAACACTATAAAATTTTGTTTTGTTAGTGAGCCAAGTAACAATTGTTTCCTACCTCTTATCTACGATACCTTCAATTTTTAGTTTATCATTGTCCGCCGACGACTTTTCTGGTTCTTTTTCGACGTAGTTTGACTTTCTAGTTTATTTTATCTCCTCCATACTTCCTTCATATTGGAGTGCATCGTAAAAGTTTACATCTTCAGACATTACTTTTTTGAATCGGTGCAAATGATCCCATTTCTTTTTTGTTATCTTAAGCCTTGTCTCGTAGAGCTGTTTGGGCTTATAGACTATATCAATTTGTTTTTGGCGTTGAGGTAAGACTTCATAAGGATCGTTGATTTACGATTTGTAGTAGATTTGGTCAGTGCTATCATATCTTAGGTATCTCATATCTTTCGCCTTCAAATAGTTTTTCTTATTTTCTGGACTTACGGAATTGTACCTTTTACAGTTGTACTTCAAAATTCAGAAAATACGAATAATTTGTATACTCTACGTCAAAAGGGAATGATCGCATCTCTAGCTAGATCTAAGGCGCCTTTCAATGACACAATGAGTCAAGTCACATTCCATTTGAATGTGATCCTTCTCCAAATGCTTCTGCTCAATCTCTATATTATACCGTGTGGCCAATAGAGACAAGGCATTGGACAATATGGTGTTTTAGTTTTGGTATCTGACCACAGCACAATCGGTTTGACTAGAATTTTCAAAGCAGACTTTCGTTCATACTCGCTCCGTTCATTTAGAGTGATGCTGTAGCTTATTTGCTAGCTGTCACTTTATAGAATGCGCCAAGTGAATCTAACTGAATTGTTCTCATGTCGCAGTACCGAACCACTCCCTCGGAGCTAACTCACAGATGTTATTAATGATGAAGCGTAAGGCAGTGAACTCTTTGGAATAGTTCGGTAACCTTCGATCGTGCGACTCACATAACCCTTAAGTGTGTTTTAGAATGTCATTTCAATAGACTGATAATCACTGACAATGAATACAAACTGCTGAAGCGTATTCAAGATAGCGCTGAAGTCCAGCAGCTCAGTGTAATAAACGCAGCCTATGTGTCAGTGAAAGACACAGTGAAGTCGTGAGTGCCCTGTATGGTAGTATACGTGACGTGTCATATACCAACAGAACAGTTACAAGATCCAATAGGCTGAAACCAATCTTCACTTTTTAATCAAACTTCCGAGCAATTTACTAATGACTCTTTCGAATCGAAGTATACATTTCTGATAAGATTTCTTAGACACTTACTCTGGCGTAACGCTTTGTCGTAAAAAACCGTAGATAGCATAATTTGGTCAAATAAAGAGAGCACCGTCTAGCAACCAATACAATCAGGTCCAGTGAACAAGTGGATGCTGAGAGATACATCTTATTGGAATCGAAAATAACAGCGGATTTAGATACGCCATATTAGAATATGCGCAAAAATGGTATTTTTCATTTGAAATCCATCAAAATCTCGATTTCGACATTTTGGGGGATATATCGTATTAGAACTAAGCCATCGATGTCTACATAATTATTGGTTGTATGTACAGTATCAATTAAGAAGTGATCTAAGGGTTTAGTTAATATTACATCATTCTTTATTTTTGAGATGGGGGGATGCAGGACAGTTGGATGTATATGAGAAGACATTTTCTTTTACAACGATGAAGATCAACACTTATGTACACAGTAAGTTTGAAATCAAAACACTGATTTTACTTATAAAACTACAATAGGGTATCTCTGACGTAAGAAGCAGAGAGTGTTTTATTAGAAAACTTCCGCTGGATTGTGTACTCACTTTGTTTTTCCAGGTATAGGCACGGGAGCTGAGAGCAACTTCAGAATCCATGTTTCTATCTCTTTTACGTCATGATTGACGATAGACGATGTTGCCTCAGTGGCGTGGTTTGTTAAAACACTCCAAACACTATCTCTGAAAAATTTAACCAGTCAAATAGCAACACAGTATGGATATAGGGCTTCGATAATAATATTGAAGAACTGAGAATTTATTTGCTTGTTTACCATCTTCCCGAAGAAGTGTGTTTTGCCTAATGATATTACACGAATTTTCACACGGGTGTGAAATTGTTTTATTCAGAACGACAACTTTATACAAACCACATAGAAATCGAAATAGTTACAAAAATGGTGTAAGTTTAAAGGATTATTATTTGCAAATATGGTGAGTGTGCTACTAGATTCAGACGATGTTTTTGATAGTCTTCGAACTTACCTAGACAGCTGTTTTGAACCACCAACTCTTCGAGGATTTGAAGATTCATTGCAAGCATCAATCAACTTTTTCAAGATGAATAGGCACTCTCGAAATAATGAAAAGAACGGATGATGCGATAATATACAGAGTGAGGTTAATGACAGGTTTCTGATCCTCTGAAAAAACATATAAAAGCTATATAATATCGTCAAAGTTCAAATAATATCTGTCAAGGCTGTCGTTTTCGAATGCACACATTGTCAAAGAAAACAATAATTTGGGTAGCAAATAATAATAATAATAATAATCGTCTTTATTGACCAAAACGTGGTACATTACATGGGGCGAGATTTAGCATCCGCTATTCCACCATCTAACCCCGTACAAAAGTGAAAAAAATAAGTTACACAAAAACAAACAAAAAATTTGAAACTGCAAAGATTAAGTTACCGTATAATAGGATGATTTATGCCAATTTAGCTATAAAAAGAAGAAGAGATAATAGGTTATGAAGAAACGGAAAAATAACTAATCAAAAATAAAAAAAGTGTGAAAATGAAGGAACTTCTTAAGCTGCTTAAGTTGTTTTGCAATTCTTGTAAATATCTTTTTAACTGAGTTTTAAAACTGCTGGAAGAATGGATAGTTTTCAGATCCTGGCCTAAGCTATTGAAATATAGAATTGCATTGTATGTGAAAGTTCGTCTAAAAAGTGCAATGCGATGTATCGGCATAGTTAAGGTGTCACGGTTACGAACCTGAAGATTATGCACAGACGCCCTTGGAACAAGTTTACAGCTGAGGTATTGAGAGGATGATGTTAGTATGATCCTGTGAGTAAAGCTGATAATGGGGTATTTGAAAAGATTTTGAACGCATAACCATGCAATATTACGATACAAGTGTGATACATGATCGAACTTTCTTAGGCCCTCGATAAACCGTACACAGGCATTCTGCATTATCTGCAAACGTTTTGCGTTAATAGACGTCAGACGTGGGTAATATATGGATAAGCCATATAACATTTTAGAAATAACTAAATTTTGACACAATTTAATTTTGATGTTTCAATCCAGAATATGTTTGTTTGCAAATAGAAGCCTGAGGGATAGATAACAATTTTTCAAGACAGCATTCAGATGGGAGTTAAAACGTAAGTCCGAGTCATAGTGAATGCCCAATTTTTTTACTATTTCAGAAATAATAATTTCCTCCCCATTAACTTTGATGTGAATTAATGGATTAAGGTTTTCACATAATCTTTTATTGCCAAATAATATGGCAGAACATTTTGAGGAATTTAGACTCAAGTTGTGAGTGCTGTAGTACCTATTAACAATATCAAGATCCGCATTTACTAGCATCATGGACTCCTGGACATTGTAGGCATTAAAATCACACTTCATCTGCGTATCGAAGGCCTTGGAAAAGTGTAACAGTACCAGCAAGCTCATGTTTTAACTGTCGATGCAAGATATGATGCTATCAATGAGATAAGACAAGGCTGTCGCTGTACTGTGGTTTTTCTGAAAGCATGATTGATGGGGTGGGATTATATTATGTGCATTGGGATGATCAAGAATCTGTGTATAAGTTAGTTACGTTCTAAAATTTTAGACATTAATGGCAATATGCTTATTGGTCTGAGGTCAGCGATGGATATCGAATTAGACAATTTCGGCAGAGAAGTCACCAGAGCTGTCTTCCAAAGGTCGGGAAAGTATCCAGTTTCCAAGCAAATATTAATGACATGTAGCAGATAAATGCCAATTACTGGAAACCATAACTTTAACATTTGTAAGGTGATACCATCCGTTCCAGAAGCATTGGATTTTATACAGCAGATAACAGTTTTAATCACACATCTAAATCAACTAGCTTAAAAGAAAATGAATTTCTTTGCAAAAAGTTATTTGTTCTGAGTAAAGTATTTTCTCAAAGCACGCTTCATCATTGTCTTGAAAAACTAAGATAAAGTATTCATTGACTTTGTAAGGGTCTGTGAATGTTGATGGGATTTCAGAAGATTTAATTGCTTGAACGCGCATATTTTTTAAACATTTTTATAATAAAGAGGAATTTCTGCCAAAAAGGCAGACTTTTCATTCCGTAACGACTGTAATGCATAATTTCTCAAAGATTTGTAATTATTCCAATTTTGAACAGACAGCTTTAAATTTAGGCAACGCTCTATCTCTTTCCTTGAAAATTAACTTCAAATTGGCTGTCAACCATGGTGCTTTCGGTCTAGTGACACGCACTGTCCGAATTGGACAATGTAAATCAAAGATGGCATTGATGTTGTCAGTCAAAAATTTCAATTTGGTTTCAATGTCACTAAAGTATAAGACCTGCTCCCACTTCACTTGATGTAAGTCTCGGTTGAAGTTATCTAAGTTGAAGTGTTTATAGTCTCCGAACGACACATACTTATGCTCGTTATGGAAACTACAAAGTAGGTCTCAGAAAACCATTTGATTCAGCAGATAACAGTTTTAATCACACATCTAAATCAACTAGCTTAAAAGAAAATGAATTTCTTTGCAAAAAGTTATTTGTTCTGAGTAAAGTATTTTCTCAAAGCACGCTTCATCAATGTTTTGAAAAACTGAGATAAAGTATTCATTGACTTTGTAAGGGTCTGTGAATGTTGATGGGATTTCAGAAGATTTAATTGCTTGAACGCGCATATTTTTTAAATATTTTTATAATAAAGAGGAATTTCTGCCAAAAAGGCAGACTTTTCATTCCGTAACGACTGTAATGCATAATTTCTCAAAGATTTGTAATTATTCCAATTTTGAACAGACGGAATGGCTTTAAATTTAGGCAACGCTCTATCTCTTTCCTTGAAAATTAACTTCAAATTGGCTGTCAACCATGGTGCTTTCGGTCTAGTGACACGCACTGTCCGAATTGGACAATGTAAATCAAAGATAGCATTGATGTTGTCAGTCAAAAATTTCAATTTGGTTTCAACGTCACTAAAGTACAAGACCTGCTCCCACTTCACTTGATGTAAGTCTCGGTTGAAGTTATCTAAGTTGAAGTGTTTATAGTCTCCGAAAGACACATACTTATGCTCGTTATGGAAACTACAAAGTAGGTCTCAGAAAACCATTTGATGGTCACTAATGATATCAGCGTTGATGGTACCGCAAACCTCAACATCAGACAGAAATATGGGATCCAAGAGAGTGCTACTTGTCTCAGTAATACGAGTGGGATCTTAGATAATTTGTGTAAAGCCATATGACTGAAAACACTGACTGATTCCGTTATTTTTTATCAATAAGTTAACGTTTAGATCACATAAGATGATTTAATTGTCGTATTCAGTTACTAGGCCAGATAGCAAATTATCGAGACATTCGATAGCATTCAAAACATTTTCACTCGGAGGTCTATACATTACACCCAGGCAGTAACTACAGTGACCAACTGTACAAGAAGTAAGTACTTCGTACTTCATATTGCTTCTAAAATAAGTACCGACACCACCACCACGGGATGGCCTATCATTTCTACAAAAGCTGAAGCCAGGGATATTGACAGTTTCAGAGATAGTACATTCGTACAACCAAGTTTCCGATACAGCAAATATATCTATTTTTTTTCAAAAACTAACTCTACAAAATCGGCAAAATTGGAAAGTAACGACCTTTGAGATCTATTAAGATACGTGATGTGGCCATTAAGTTTTGGAAGTGCTATTGGCGATGCAATATAAGGTTTACAGATCTGGATCAATTTAGCTTGAGATATATTGGGTGAAATCACCTCAGCCAAATTTTCAGATTGATAAGTCGCCCTTAGGGGCCCCTAAGCTCAAAGACGTGTATTTCAAAATTAATATTTTACGGGTACAATTTTGCTTGAACAAATTGGAATAATCACCGGTGTTACATTGTTGCATCCTACCTAATCGTGATTTTTAACAGATTGGTCGCACTTATAAATTCGATAAAAACATTTGTTAATTTTCTCTTTTAAATTTTTGATTAGGTAGTAAACTAGCTGACTTAAAATCCCATTCTATATCAGCGATTTTTGCGATCTTTTTTTTTTCTCAGTCTGAATCATTAATTTTCACCTCGGTGTCTGCCAAAACTCGGAAAAATCGCATTCTCAAGCGTTTTCTTCAATTTTCACATATGCGTTAGCATACTTTTAGGTTCTATTGTCAAAATTATGTGTTTTCGTCCAGAAAATTTACAATAATAGAAAAATCCGAATGTTCACTGATTTTCTTCAATTCGCGTCATTTCAAGTCAGAAAAGAAGTACTTGACTAACACAAGAACCAACTGCATAAATATACTGAATTACGTTTCGTTATCAAAACCATGACTTTTTGTTCGGAAAATCACCAAAAATCGAAAAACGCATATTTTTACCGATACACCTCAATTCTTTGCATTTTACAGGAGGAGAAATTTCATAGCTCAGTTAGTTGAAAAACTCAATGTGCGTATGTATTTTACTGCATTCTTTTAGGGTTATCAAAACTGTGATTATGTGCCCGAAAAATTACGTAAAACAGGAAAAAACGCATATTTCCAGATTTTCTTGAGTTTTGCACATTTAGACTCAGGCATTGAACAGTCCGCTATCTGATTTCATTCTAGAGTCATATTGGTGTTCAAATTGGTTTTATTTTTCATGGACACCAACCGGTAGGGCCCGCACGGGTATTATGTAAAAACCTGTAAAACGTCAAAAAAGACCTATAACATGTCATCTTGAGGACTAAGTAGTTTTTAGGGTGCAAACAGTTAGTCGAAGTTTGCTCAATATTATCATTGTGATTTGTGACCGTCCATCTATGGAGGAATGACTCAACTACACGCATTGTTGGTTGCATATGTTTTGTGAAGCCGAGTAGTCTGTAGTTTTCATCTCTCAGAAGAAAGTTTGTTGAATAACAAGATCGCATCTGGATAATTATGTGTATTGGTCTGCATGTGTATAAAATCAGTGATATTTGCTGTGTGAGAAAACCATTACTGAATATGCTGCCAATGAAGCTGTGCCCGACGGGATATATATATATATACGTTGTCCTTTCTGAAGGCGGGCTATGTTTAAAGTCATAGATTACGATTTTTTAAGTTTTTTTGTGCTTTCGAAAACTTTTAGTATTACGGGAAATCACCACCGCGCTCGTGTTGTGTGTAATTAGCATGTTTTCGTATATGACTTGTAATTAATTCGACAGTCTACAGTGAATATAATTATTTCTCATTTCTACCATTTTTTAAATTCAGCAAATTTGCTTATTTAATTTCCAGAATGGATAAGAAACAAAGAATGCGCAACTAATTTCTAGCTTTGAAGCCAAGTAAGTGTATTTGAGACAAGAGTTCAATGGAATTATCATCAGAACGTATTATTAGCACACAAATCTCCACTATGCACCTATGCATTGCCGTTTCCTGCTAGCTATAGTATACAACTTACAGCTTAGACCTCCAATAGCGCCATCTCTGAATCAGATTTTACATCACATTGATAACTGAAGCATCATGACGTTTAGGCAACACGTACAACTACAAAACGAGTGTCCGTCAGCTAATGCTAAGTTAACATTTTGCAGAAAAACCAACATAATGATACAAAAAATCAATACAATTTCAAAAAAAATCGACATAATGTCACTTTTCAAGATACATAATACCCGTGCGGAACTGGTTACCAAGCTACCATTCTGTTAAATTATAGTGTCGTGTACGTTACTCAAAGAAGAATCTATTAGTACCGTCCAGAAGAGCCTGAATCTTCTTAGTAGATCCTTGTAAGATATTTTCCGTATGTTCTGTGTTCCGTATTTGTGTTCTACTTGTATATATGCATACGAGAGATTGGCATGTTACTCAGGGACATTATGTGGGTCATCTGAATAGGTAAACAGGCAAGCCACGTCAACGTTCACCTGGAGATGAGAGCGGCAGGGTTATTACGTAAAAAACCTATATAATATCAAGAAAATCGACAAAATATCAACTTAGGAACTAGGTAGCCGCTAGTTTGCCACTAGTTCAGTCCTTGCTTACTACAAGTGAGCATAAAGTGAATGTCAGCTAGCTCCAAGGGGACATTTTATAGGAAAACCTGCATGATATCAAAAAACCTACACAATGTCATAAAAAATCGATGTAGACATTTTTTAAGTTACGTAATACGGATGCAGGGCTAACGTCAGTTTTAGTTATTAGACTATTTGATCCATTTACGGAACAATTATATCAATACTACTTCAGCTTATACCCTAAGAGGATGTTAAAAACTCCTGTTTATCCGGCTTTTGTTAATTTTCCTGGCAAAACCTCATGATTTGGGAAATGGAGCTGAGAAGAAAGCCAAAACATATTCGTGCAAACTGATATTTTCAATCCTGCCAAGTTTCTTCCCCAGACCCAAAATATCGCGAATTGAATAAAATACTATTTATAACAATTTTCCAGTAAAAGAATACAGACAATACGTATATACAGTGGGTTTTCGAATTGTTATGTCCATTCCTGTCTGAAAATGTGAAAAATAGATGTTGCAATTTTGCTGTTCTATTCAAAAAATGTAAAAATTTGAATAAACTCGAGGAAAATGAAGTATTACCGATTTTTGGTTTTCCGGGTAGTATCGGGAATGGCTAAGAACTGTTGGCAGTACTTTTGTTGTTTCGCATGTTCTAACATTTGAGTAACATCTTAATTGATTTCTTCGTTGATTTCTAATCTATGAGAGATCGTCCGATTACTTAGATCGAATCGACGCATTCAAACACATCGGCATAAAAATTAATGGGAGCTCCTCCACGTGGATCGTCTTCTGCCGATTCACGCTTCTCCTCCAACCACGTCGGCCATCCAAACACCTGCATTTTCGATATGCACTCGACTCCGCAATCTTGGAAGAATTTTTAAAAACTTTATGTACAGATTTCACTGGAAACTGAATTAAAGGATTTTTCCTCTAAAGTCAGTAGTAGTTCCTAGTTATCACTGAATTCCCCTGATTCAATTGCCACACCAAGTATTTTAATCCTAAAATAATCTGTAACTGGTTAAATTATTTCATCTCACCTGTCGTCTCCTACTAGCTCTCGGTGATGGTGAATGGCTACCACCACTCTCCGAATCGTTGGCTGGAATCACCCCTAATCGCGGTAAATTCACCGTTGTTGATTCAGAATCTCGTCTACTTGGACAGTCTCTATCTGAATCACTTGGTCCTATATTACTACTCCTATAGTCACTACAAAAAGCAGGTAACAATATCTGTTTTTCAAAATGGTGTTTCTCTCGTACCTAGAAAATGCTGAGTCTGAGCTTTTTTCCATACTTTTCCTCCATGAGTCTCTCCTTAAACTCGTATTTGCCCTACCTTTTGACAAGCCAGCTGACACTGTACATTTTTCTATTGGTCTATAAAAATTTACACAAATCCCGTACCTAAAACAAATAGATTCATTAGAAAAGTGGTTGTGTTTAACACCAAAAGACTTTTCAAAGGTTGCACGTTTTTTGTCTGGGCCAATTTGCGATACTGATTTCAAATATGACCACCAAAAGACGATGGATTATTATAGACTGATAGATAGATTATATTATTTAGAGCAGGAAATGAGACTTTTTGGGCCTTTTGTCAATATTAGCAAAAGACTGCCATGTGATTCGTCATCTATACACCCGATTTATCCGCGAAACGAGTTTGGCGATTTTTTATTAATTTTCTTTTAGGGTTTTCGCAAAGGAAAACGTTCATTTTCATCTTCTGTTGTTACATACGAAGCAAACCCGCTACATTTGCATATTTTTGGGTTGCCGGTTTCACATGCGGCTTTCAAAGAGTGTTATAGTGTCGCAGGGCCCTATTTGAAGCAAAAAATGAGACTTTTGTAGCCTCCCATTGATAGTGGAAAGGTGATTGAGATTACACAGATAGAGAGGGAGAGAGTACAAGGTATTTCTATTTTCATCTTCGTTGACGCAAGATATGATCATCAAAAGATACTAAGCTCGCGAAGCCTTTTAATTGCGAGGAAAATTAATCGATTCCAGTAGAAATTTACTATCAGATTCGTGATCTACCTACGGGATTAACCCAAGTACCCCGTTTGAGTCAAGATTATAGGTAGTAGGTTTCTCACTGCAAAACTTACATTTTCGTCTACATACAAAGATTTATATTTACCTTTTGACTAATGTACAGTGAGATAATTTGGAGTGTCCTTTTCAGCTATAACCATTAAAACATGCTGAAGTATAGCGAAGCCCCAATTGGGATAGGACGATAAGACCTTTGGGGTCTACCGCTCATTTCTGCGAAAAGCTGACATCAAATTTTTGATTTACGACTTTTGATTTCCCCATGATTTATATAAGGTTTTAGATGCACTAGAACTACCTAAATATTTTCATCTCAAATTTTCTAGTGAGGCTGCTAAGAAATGTTTCCTTCTCCTCTCCGGCTTACCTAGTTTTCCCAGAATCCTTATCAGTCAAAGTAAATACAAATGAAGATGCCTCCCGCAGCGCTGTCCTTTTTGGTCCAACTGAAGAACAGCCCTCTGGTTGGCAAAAATACACCATATCCAGCGGCATTGGGAAGTCTTTGTGGTCTTGAACGGGATAACGTCTCAGCAGTTCTGGTGGCTGAAAGTTTCGCAAGATTTACTATTTTACCAGGAACTTACAACGAGGTTGTAGTAATTCAGGTAACATATGTCATCGTATGTGGTAATGTATATTTTTTCAATTTGGCGGTTCAGCCCCTCTTTTTGAGTGTTAGCCATTTTGTACCTGTTTTTAAGTACGTTCGGTATATTCAGAAAAGACAATTTTCTCCTTGTATCCTGTGTGGTGATATTAACTTAGCAACAAAGAGAGTAGTTGTATCCTTAAATTCAGGGTGACAAGGAATAAGGTCTCTGGGATCCCTAAAGGACACAATATAAAATAGATCAGAGACGGACTAGCCCTAATACGATATTGCTGATTTTTTAATGCTTGATTTCGATGGAAATAGCTGTTTTTGAGGACATGAAACCTCAGAATAAGTTTCACGAGTTACATTAAATACGAGTACATTCTTGTTCCACTATTAGACCTACCGCCGATCCCCAAAAAAGTTTTATAACAATCTAAAGCTTGATCAGTGTGGCTCGAAATATGGCGCAGATACTTTCAAGTTGGCAACCGAACCAACATTATCAAGCGAGGAAGTTACTTTGCTATTGGATTCCACTGGAAAAAATTATGATGTGATATTTTTTCATAGTTATACACATCATGTGTGATCAGAATTTTTGTATTACACTTTTGTGTTTATTTAAAATTTTACGTATCATTTTAATTGTTCTAATCCCAACAGCTTATCTATTTTACTGTACTTTATACATATTATCCATGTTGGCCATAGTTGAACAAAATTCTATTTTGCGAAACTTGTGCTTTATGAAATTTAGTTTTACCACACATTCCCCAAATAGGTAACATATATGTAAAGTTAATCTAAATATTTAATGTAAGTAGTCTAATTCCAATTCTGAAGGATATTTAAACCTAGGCATTTGATGCTTGATACTTTTTCTACTTTGACGTTATTTATTCTTATACAAAACTTTTCAACTATTTTATTCTTATATTAAAATTAGATATTTTGTTTCATCGATGTTGATCTTCAGTTCATCCGAATTTACCGCCATTTACAGTAAAGAGCAAGATCTCAATTAACCTCATCACGCAGAGCCGGATCTGATTTCCTTTACAGAGGATAACTGGCCAGCAAAAGTAAAATACCTTGCATGAAGATTAGCCTTCTTCAAATTTTGAACATACAGAGAGTATCATAGTGGCCCTAGACTGACCCCTGCGGATAACCACTAGATAACCAATCAGTGTTTGTTTCACCAGTTTTCATATATTGTAGCTTATTCAATAATATATCGATATCTACCACATCAAGTGTCTTTGTTAAGTCTATAAGCACCCCTATAACCACTTGTTTTTCAATCAGAGCGCTTGAGATATAATTTACAAAACCAACTGCAGCTGCAAGCGTAGTACTATTTTTTATGAATCCATACTGGTAACGGTCAGGTAATGTATTTTCATCTACACTGAGAACCAAATTTGTCTGACGGTTTGAGTTCAATTTGAGAAGTGTGTACAGACACATATGTTAGAAAGAGGTAGAAGCCGCCTGGATAGTGAAGCTCATCCCCGCGTTACTCAGCAACGCAGACGCAGCAATCTGCCCCGTTGCCAATATATTTCACCAGCTCCTTGAATTAACATGCATGTTGAAAATATGCGTCAGTTTATCACATTTTTTAATTTGTGTTCTGGTGTAACATATTGGCAGCTGGGCAGATTGCGCGACTTTCTGCTTCACCGTTGCTAGGCAATGAGGCGGTGACCTTCGCTCCTCAACCAGCTTATATCTCCTTCTAACATGTGTTGATTCGCACTTCTCGCGCTTCTCTCTCGTACACATTGAACACAAGCCGTCAGACAAATTTGGTTTTCCCTGTATAAACGACATCATTCTTTTCTTCGTGATTTTTTCAACAATTTTGGATAAAACGCTGATCACAGCTATTAGCCTATAATTATTCATACAGTCTTTATCACCTGATTTATAAAGTGGAGTTGCCTTACTGATTTTAAGTCGTCCGGCAATTTTCCATTTATTATTATATTGTTGATTCATTTTACTAATATTTTTACAATATAAGCATATAAGCATATCTCCGACTGGAACGCCAATTTGTTTTTCGAAGAGAATGACAGAAAGGAAAAATGTAATGCCTGCGGAAAATGATGGAATATTATTTGAATTGTATTTCTTATATGTTATTTCGTTATTTGGTCATTACAGAAACCGTTTTCAGATAATTATAGCTAATAATGTATCCAATTTATTTTCCACAATTCATTAAGCACCTAACTTATATGTGTAAGTTCTCGTCATTATGATAACAGGCGAAAACCTTAAGGGAAACATCAAAAGATACAATTCGTAACAAAGAATATAGTATGTTATTAACAGAGTTTAGGATCCCAGGGCTGCTATGCATTACATTCTCAGAGACAGAGCGTGGGGCATTGAATAGCGTTAAATGTACTGTCAATGCCTGCGCACCCGTTAGGTTGAGTAGTGGTCCGATTTTCTGGTACTAGGTGATAAATGTTAAGTAAAAATAATACTAACTTTACTCTACTCTCCACTACTCTGATGACTGGTTTTTATATACAGGGTGGCGCATCGAAAACGAAACAGACGCATTTACTGGCAGCTCAGCTTTTTTTTAAAAAACGCTCAGACCCGTCGAGGGGGACACAAGTTTTTCAAAAAAATCACGTTAGCACGTGCAGCCCCCTAAGCGGAGGTGACACCACCCCCAAAATCCTAAATGGAAAGGGGGGTCGAGTGGTACCTTATTTTAAAGGTCTTCCAATTCCCTTTATAATGATATAAAACTAATGTACTTCAGTTCAGTAGTTTTGAAGATCTATTGATTTGAAGCTTAAATAAAACTAATACATCATCATTAGTGGAGATCAATACATTTGGCAGCAAAGTAATTTAAAAATGAAAAATTAACTGACCCGTTAGGCAAGTAAATGTTGAAAATGGCCACCAATGCGGCAAAGATTTTGCTCAAAACGTTGCCGCACATTTTGCAATATTTGAGGAGTAATTTGAAGGCACTCATTCACAATTCTTTGTCGCAGGTCTTCTAATGATGTTGGCTGAGTAGCATAGATTTTGCTTTTTAAATGACCCCACATAAAGAAATCCAACTACCAATCCATCGATCTGGAAACGTCTGATCTAAATATTGTCGAACACGTAATGCGTAATGTGATGGGGCACCATCCTGTTGGAACATCAACCTATTCGCAATGTACCGCCGATCATTCTGATTTTCAATTATGGCTGTTAATGCAGGATCTATGGCGTCTTCCAGTAATTCCAAATACATTTCACCGGTCAAATTTCCAGGTAAGAAAAAAGGACCAACTAAATGATCGCCAAAAATACCAGCCCAAAAATTTAATTTTTGTGGCTGCTGTGTATGAAGCTCATGATAAATTCTGGGATTACAATCGAACCAATATCGGCAGTTATGACGGTTTACTACGCCATTTAAGAAAAAGCAACATTCGTCGGAAAAGCACGTGTTGAATAGAAAATGTTTATCGTTTATAATTCGTTCACTTATATCTTCACAAAATTGTAATCGCCGATCAAAATCGTCTTCATTAAGTTCTTGTACCAGATGAATTTTATACGGATGAAAACTATGGGCCTTTAGAATTCGTTGGACAGTGCGTCGACTAACGCCACACACAGTCTCCAATTTTCGGGTACTTAACGTAGGATCTACATAAACTTGCCCTTATGGGATTTTGAATGTTGCGTTTTTTATTGGCGACTGACCCAGTTTCCCGAAATTTAGCTACAAGTTCTAGAACATATTTTCGATGCACGTTACTGTTCTTATGTCGCTCATTAAATATTTCTGCTGTTCTATTAGCGCACTGATTATTTCCGAAAAATATTTCGATAATTTCAACTCTTTTTGCTGTGAAATATATCATGGTTAATTTATGTAATAAAGCGTTACAAGTTATTTTAGCAACAAAGTTTGGTCAACGCATTCGTAGACTATGTACTAAATTCCTATTTAAAATAAGTACGAGATATTTCCTTATCTTTCTTCAAGAAATAACTTTTTTGCCACAAAAAAACGCTCCAATAGCTATTTTCGACAACAAAATGATAAACAAACCATGGCGTAGTGAAGAAAAGCATTTACTTATTAAGTACATTCTTTTAGTCAAATTTATTCTTAAAGTAGTACAAACTAATCTGATGTACCTATTAAAGTCTACTTTAAGCTTTAAATCAATAAATCTTCAAAACTACTGCACTGAAGCTCATGTATTTTACATCATTATAAAGGGAATTGAAAGACCTTTAAAATGAGGTATCACTCGACCCCCCTTTCCATTTCAGATTTTAAGGATGGTGTCACCCCCGCCCAGGGGGCTGCACGTGTTAGCGTGATTTGTTGCCAAACTTGTGTCCCCCTCGAAAAAAGAATCGACAGGTCTGAGCGTTTTTCCAAAAAAAAAACTGAGCTGCCAGTAAATGCGTCTGTTTCGCTTTCGATGCGCCACCCTGTATACACTTTTATTATTATTATCATTATTATTATTAAATTTCAATTCATATTTTTACCTGTATATGCGGTCCAGTATTAGGCCTGGTAACACCGCCTGGTCCCGTGTTGATCCTGGCCCCGACGATGGTGAGATAGTCGATGAGCCTTGGGCAGAGGAACTGCCTCTCCGCGTCCAAGGACATGTTCGCGACCTCCGGTACAGGAACGTTAACGGGAACCGGAACGGGGTCACCTTGCCGTGGACGCCAACATCATAGCTGCCGGCCGTTGGGGGTGGCTCAGAGAGGGTTGCGATGCTGGTGGCGGATGGTAGGGGGAGAAAGACGTTGAGCATGCCGGGGGCGAGACTGCGAAGCGGCAAAGCGGTGACGCTGACCTAAAAATAATAAGTGATTTAAGGTAACAGTCTGTAGACGAGTAGAAAAGCTCGCGTAGGTGGGAAAAATGTTCCATCTCAAATTTGTTTTTATAACCACTTTTGTTGCAGGCCGGTTAACATGAATCGAGAGTTTTCAGCCTTGAAAAGTGACATTATGTTGATTCTTTTGACATTGTATTGGTTTTTTATGACATTATGTAGGTTTTTCTACAAGATGTTAACGTAGCACTAGCTGATGGACAGGTTGTGAACTCGTTTTGTAGTTGTACGTGTTGCCTTAACGTCATGAGCCTTCAGTTATCAATGTAAAATCTGCTTCAGAGATGGCATTACTGGAGGTATAAGCAAATTTGCTGTATTTCAGAAATGAGCGATAAGAAATAATTATGTTCCCTGTACACTGTCAAGTCATATACATACTAACAGTAATTACACACAACGCAGGCGCGGTGGTGATTTCCCGTAATTCTCCTCAAAGTTTTTGAAAACACAAAAAAAAATCAAAAATAGTTATTTATAACGTTGAAGATAATACCCGTGTCGGGCGGCAGCCCGGTGTAAATTTATTTAAAGAGTTCCTTAAACAAATTACAAAAAATTAGTCTTTCGCTTTGGACATAGTTTTATGAATCAAAGTAAATCTCTAAAGGTAATCGTTTGCGAGTTATAGACGATTTAATGTCTGAAAAATACAAAAATGGCCATATTTAAAGGTTAAAATTAAAAACCTTAAAAAAAAGTGTCAGAGACGGAAGCAAATTTTTTTTAATTTGTCAAAAAAATTATTTTAGTAAAGGAAAATATTGGAAATACGAGTTTTCCGGCCCCTTCTCCGAACGAACGCAAACCTGTGAAAACTATTATTTATAATTACATCTAATCAATAGTGACTTGATAACTGAACTTTCAAATGTCAAATCATAAAGTAAAGAAAACATTTTCATCATAGTGAAGTACACGAACGAACAAATAATTAAAATTCACTACCCAAATTCCGAGTCGGTGACTGCAACTTTGACCGTTAACGCCAATTTTTGGTCATAATTCTCGTCCCGGTAGACAAGCAATTCATAGTCTATTAAAAAAATTTTATTCCACATATTCGCTGCTGGATGTTCCCGTGTGAGTGAGGCAACGGGTTGGTCCAAGTGATGAAAATATTGCTGCCATCCAAGCTTCCGTCGCAAACGAACAGAACACGTCGATTCCACGGCGTTCTCAAGAAATGGGTATTGCTCAGATACTATGACGAATTTTGCGAGGAAATCTTAGCCTTCACCCTAATAAGATCAAGTTAACTCAAGGACTAAAGCGATCCGATCATATGAACCGACGTACGTTCTCGAATTGGGCTCTAGAGATGTTGAGATTTGCGATGAAATGATCAATTTCATCGCAAAATCATCTTCAGTGATGAGGCGCATTTTTGTCTAAACGGCTTCGTCAACAAACAGAATATGCGTTATTGGTCAGGTAAAAGCCCTCATGTGCTTCAAGAAACACCACTTCATCCACAAAAAATAGCTGTATGGTGTGGTTTTCAAGCCGGTGGTGTCATTGGACCGTTTTTTTTTTTTTTCGTTGATGAAAATGACCGTCACGTTACAGTCAAGGGAGATCGCTACAGAGACATGTTGCAATGTTATTTTTTTTTTGGTCAATTGGATGGGCTAGACTTTAGTGATATGTAGTTTCAATAAGACGGTGCCACAAGTCACACAGCAGGTGAAACAATCGAAATATTGAAATCAAAATTCGGTGAACGTGTTATATCGATAAATGGTCCTATCGAATGGCCGCCTAGATCGTGTGATTTAACACCTGTAGACTTTTTTTAGTGGGGCTATATTAGACATTGGTCTACGCCAACATGCCGGTGTCGTTAGAGGAGCTCACAGATAATACTGAACGAGAGATAGCGGCCTTTTCTGTCGAAATGTGTGACCGAGTCATTTAAAATTGGGTTCAACGAATCGATCGCTGCGAACATGCCCCTGGTACACATATGAACGAGGTCGAATTCCATACATAAATGTTTTGAATATACTTCAATGCAATAATAAAATTTTCGAGATATCTCATGGTTTGCATTTTATTTGAAACAAAGTTGTCAAGTCCTTAATGGAAAACCCTTTGGAGACGCCCGGTGCAAAATGTCTTTTTTATCAAAAAAGCTTCTTTTTTATGGTATGCATGTTTCTCCTTGTAACAAATGTATCTTGTTAGCGAATAATAAATAACGCCGCCCTAAAGTTATACATATAAGCGCATTCAACAATTGTAATATATTACGATACCTCCGCGTGACAGATAGTCTGTGCCATCTAGTGCACTCAAGCTCACCGAGCTACACACTGGCAGAGTACGTTCGCCCATTTCTGGCTAGCTGCGATTAAACCGCTCTGCTTTCACTTTTTTTTTTTAGGGAGAAGGAAATGTACCTACCGCACGCAACGGCGCATTGCCGGCTGGGCAACTCGACAATGCATTGCTACAGTGTGGGGCTCTCACTCACTAAAACCTCCTCTTTTTTCTAGACCGTGTTCCATCTACGGTACTACCTTGCGGCTTTATCCATCATAGAGCTCTGCTTTCACTTGAATGTGAGCTTAACGGTATATTCGCTGCTAGCCAGAGATGAGCGGATGTCTTTTGGCAGCGCTTAAAACAAGTAAATACTTTTTTCTTATTTTCGTTTTTCTTGAAAAAAGCAAACTGAGATAAAAAGTGATTACACTAATTATACTATGAATGTTGCATATTCTCATACAATTTTAGAGCCCTACTGTTATTTATTAAGAGTTGTGGTTGTGAAAAATATGCATAAAAAATAATAAAGAATGGATAATACCTATTTTTTTCAGTCATCTTTATACACGCTATGAATCAATGAAACGAATACGTATTAGGAATAATTCTTCAAACAGATAGCAATATGCGACGTTGGGAGCTACAGCTTTGCCGGCTTCAACCGAATCTTTTTGGAGCGATTTTTGAAAGTGCCTCATATCGCTTTTCCTATCTTTCAAATAAACTCTCCTACCTCAAGCATATAAAGCAAAATCAAGAAGCAGTGGGAAATGGCATTCGCACAAATTCATCCACCTTGATCCCTTAATACACAAACATTAACTGCATCGACTAAGCTTTCGTCTTTTAAAATTCTTATCTACAATTTGTTTCTTCCATTATTCCGTATACAACATAAATAACACAAGTAGCTGCTAAAACATCAAAGCTTAAACTATAGCTGTAGACACGATTAAAATATAAATGAACTATTCTTAATGCTTTATTTGTGTGAGCCTGTTCACGTAAAAAAAATCGAAGATGTGGAATTCATCCACCTTGATCCCTTAATACACAAACATTAACTGCATCAACTAAGCTTTCGTCTTTTAAAATTCTTATCTACAATTTGTTTCTTCCATTATTCCGTATACAACATAAATAACACAAGTAGCTACTAAAACATCAAAGCTTAAACTATAGCTGTAGACACGATTAAAATATAAATGGACTATTCTTAATGCTTTATTTGTGTGAGCCTGTTCACGTAAAAAAAATCGAAAATGTGGATAATTAATACATGACATGGAAAAATTGGGATACAGAATCACATAATACACATCTTTTATATAGGTGATTTTTGGTATATCAACTCCTTTTGACGAGTCCTACAAGCAGTTGAAATAAATGACTCAGCTTTGGAAACATCCTGTATACTGGTCTATAGTTGTCTATTGGGTAGAGTCCACTAACCTTATCAGTTTATTTTGTAGAATGGATATTCTTTGTCTGCCACAAAAAAAGCCCCAATATATACTCAAGTACCTCATGTGATAGTATGCCATTGCAAAATGAGTATATTTCGGAGACACCTACGACCAACTAGTCCCCGTAGGTATCTTAATGCAAAGTAAGCCGAGTTAAGCTTACTAGCCACATACTCTATTTGTGTTTCCCAAGAAAGTGTTTCGTCCGTCCATGTAGAGACCCAGAAATGTGTGGCTTTCTACCTTCTCACTGATAGAGTTCGTCTTTTATAGGAAACTATATACTTTATTTTGGCTCTATATACTAAAACCTTGTTTTCCTTACCCCATTCCGAAAATTTTAGTCGAATTATGCTTGCCTTATCTTTGAATTGTTCGGATGATCTTACGCTTATACTGATAGTTGTGTCATTTGCGTATTGTACTACTATGACTTCGTCACTAACCAAAAGAGGTGATAATATACAGGGTGTTTCAGAACTATGGGATCAAACTTGTAAGGGTTATTCAGTGTAATAGTAGAAAATATTTGAGCATAGGGACCCATATGCGGCGCTTATGTGTTGTTATCTCTAGAAAAGATAAGACAAAAATTAATTATTGCTAATGGAAAACTTTAACAATCAAGAATTGGCGGATATGCATTTGGCATACGGAGCAACAAGCTGCAATGCACGAGCAGCAGCGCGGTTGTATCAATAACGGTATCCCGAACGACAGCATCCGGGATACAAAAAGCTTATTGCTATTCATCGGCGGCTCTCCGAGCCAGGCATGTGTAAAACCAACATGCATGATGCTAATGTTGCTCGAACCGTAAGAACGGTCGAATTTGAACAAGAGGTCCCCCAACGAGTTGCCGACGAACCATCAAGAAGCACACGTCACATAGCTGAGGATATGAATACGAGTAACGCTTCCATCTGGCGGGTGCTACACGAGCAACAACTTTATCCTCACCGCTTCCAGAAAGTTCAAGAATGGACTGCAGCCGATTATCATCCTTGAGTTCAATTTTGTCAATGGCTTCTTCATCAAATCGCTGCACAACCAAATTTTTTACGCTATGTTTTATGGACCGGTGAATTCTATTTCATATAGGAATAGCCACGTTTGGGACAAAGAAAATCCCCACGCAATATTTCCTAGAAAACATCAGCAACGTTGGTCTGTCCATGTATGGGCAGGCATTGTTGATGATTATTTGATTGGGCCATACCTTCTACCGGAACG